GACCCTCCTCCTGACATCATCGATAACGAAGAAGAATATGAAATCAATGCGATCTTATCACATAAGGGGACGGGTAAACGAAGACGCTATCTCGTGTCCTGGAAAGGATACTCTTCCGCCAGCAATGAGTGGGTTCCAGAAGGAAATCTCGCTAATGCCTCCGACGTTCTCACTGCCTATAAGAAAGCCCATGGGCTATAGAATTCTAAGCAATGTCCCACATTGAACGACTACATCTCTGTATCCTCTGCATCGAAGAACTCACCGCCACCATGAATACCGTTGCTGAAGGAAACGCCCATCCATTGACACTCCTTGATTATCAAAATGCTACCGCCGCCAACCTTGCCCAACACACATCATCCCCCGCAACATCACCACCAGCTTCCAACTCCACCCTAACCCTCACCAATGACTCTGTCCTCACCAACTACTTCTCGGTCATTGACCAAGTAGAAACTAGCGCCCTGTTTGAATCTGCTATCACCTCCCAGCAGTATGCTATAGAAATAGATCGTCTCCTTGGAGAACGGGGAGCAATATCTAGTGGCCTCATAATCAGAATTATTAGAGATGCCAGCCTTATTGAACGCACCGCCGCCCTCCTCGATGATGAGCGCCATCAAACCATCTTCTGCCATCTCCACATACGCATCCACAATACTGCGATCTGTCTCTTACCAGAAGAGACTAGAGATGCCATCAGAGAAGCTATTCACATCATCACCGAGCACATTGCCCTCAACCCCATTGCGTGACCACCATCCCCTCATATCGTTGTCCCCGTACCACCGCCAGCTCCTACTACGACTGCCAAGGAGCATCAGGATGATAATATCCCTCCTATTGCTGTACTCCACGTACCAGCTTCTCCTTCTCCTGACCCCATCACGCGTACTATGTGACGACTCCCACTTAAATGACAATCCTCACGCCTCGCCGCTAAACGAGCCACCTCCGTCTCCCCCACTAAGTCACCACTCAAACGATCTAGATCGCCATCCCCTCCGAACCGATCCTCCTCCTCTGTCACAACCGTAAAAACATCACCGATCGACAACGTCATATGCCGCAACTGTCATGTTGCCGGACATCGTCATAAAAACTGCCCTGCATATTACTGCAGAGTCTGCAAGGAGTATGCACCCGGTCATCTATCAGTTTTCTGTAGAGAGTTGAAGGGGGAAGCAGTCATTCCATTGGTATGGACCGATGTAGGTTTTTACAACACTCTTGCTCGATGGGAAATTGAGCAAGACGGTATTGCTCATGCCGCCGAAATGGCGCAGACCACTATCACTGAAGAGCAGGATGATCTGCTCTATTCCAACTATGATGCGGACCCCATCTACTGGGCCAACCAAGATAATTGAAGTCGGTGACTTCATCCGTAAACGAGGGGTAATGTTACAATCGTGGTTACCCCTATCTCTTTTCTCTCTTCTCGCTCATGTATTACGTCATGACTGCACCTTGTCGTGCCATCATTAGACCAACCAATCATCCGTAGCTGTATTACATCACAACCACCTTGTGCCATTGCTAGATGACGCCATCTCTTATCTCTGACTCATCTTGATGACACCATTTCTTATCTCTGGCTCGTCTAGATGATGCATACAATACCAGCCCTAAACCTCTTACGTCTATATAAACCCGGTCTTGTACTTAGTTAGAACTTCACTTTAATCTACTAGGTTTTACCCAGAACTATCCTTCGCTTAGGACCCCCAATCCTAAGTTGTCTGATAACCAATATTCGAGCCAGAGACACTCTCTCTGACTTGTCTTAAGAACCTTACATTCGTAAGGCTTGAACCGGCTTCAGGCGTGCTCTTATCGAGTACCTGTTGTCGAGCCCACCCTAGTCCGCCGTAACACGTATATGTCATCGAGACGAGTCAGAGATAAGGGTACGTCATTGAGATGAGTCAGAGATAAGGGTGAGTCATCTAGTGACAGCAGCAGCAATCGTGATGTAATACAGATATAGCAAGAGGCTGGTCTACTGATGGCGCAACGAGGCGCAGTCATGACATAATACACAAGAGAAGAAGAAAATGAGACAGGGGTAGACGTGATTGTAACAGAGGGTGGACATGCACGCTCATCAACGACACGAGACACACAGGAGGGAGTCTTCACCAAGAACATCCTACATAGCGGGAAGATGAGTGCGAGTCAAAAAGGGAGAAAAAACATACCAAAAGGAAAAGACACAGGAGGGAGTCTTCACCAAGAAGGTCCTGGATGGTGGAAGATGAGTGCGAGTCAACAAGGGTGAAAAAACATACTGATACCGAAAGGAAATGAATGAAAGGAGGATGCATCAAGGAGAAAGTGAGTCATGTTTTGTGAAACATAGCGTTCCCACAGTTGTCGCTGACGTAAAACTTTCCCGCACATCTTCTTGTAGAGAAAAAGATGTTTCTTGCCCACAGAACCCACCTTAGGGAGGTGGGAATATTCTCCGGTTCCGGCTATTCCCGTTACCGTATTACTAACTACTGCGCTCGGTCTTCGTCATATCCATCAGTGCACAACAGTCCACCAAGTTCCCCGCTCCCTTGCACTGATCCCCTGACACTCATACATCCTCTAACAGTACTAGTATGACCCTAGTCTCAGACGACCCTGGTTGGTGGCCGGTAATCAATTCATATCGTGCTACCAGTTATCCCGCAGGTTCGTAGAGAGCGGTCGGAAATTGTCGCTGCCGCTGACGTCTCGATCTAACTTTGCACATGGTTTCGCAGTTGCCGTCGCTGCTATAGTGACGTATGATTGGGGTGAGCATGATAATATTAAAGAATTGCTGACCTCTTACAACTATATACAGCACTTACATTTGGACAGGAGGTACGTTGATGTATTACCAGAGCAGCCATCTCGCTAAGAATGATTTTAGGTCGAACTGATCTGGGTGAGCAAAACCTTACATCGAAGTAACAAAATTGATTTGCGACAGAGGCAACGTTGGTCACTTATGACCGTTCTGTATCTGAGTGTATGTAGCTTGCATTATAGGTGTGGCTGGCAACTCATACTGACTCTTGAAAATATCCTAGGTGCGCTATCTTGGAATGTTGTATGCTATGTATGTTTGGAACGCTCAGCACTGTTGTTGTGCTGATGAACCATATCTCATAATCAGCTTGAACATACTGTGTATGTCTTCTCGCATTCACGATCTTTGTCTCTTCTGACCCGTGACATACAGCCAGTGTTCCGACAATCTTGTTGACAGATACAGTGAGTCTTCTGCACAGAAGTCAACTATTCCCCTCCAATTAACCGTAGTGCCCTGTAGGAGTGAGCATGTTTCTTTACTAACTTTCTGGTTCACTAATGTCTGCCACGCTATACTGCCACAGATGTGAGTCAGTTTGGAGTGTGTGCTACCCGAGGCTTGTCGCTGACTGGACTGGTCAGGCTTGATTGTGTTCATCATAGGTATTTGGACAAATGTTGGGGTGATTGCAATGCTGGAGGGTGAGCTTTGCAGTTGCAAGACCTCGGTGATATTGACTTGACTGAAACATCTTGCAAGTCATCATAATCGCTCGGCTACACGCCATGTATCAACGATCCAGAAAGATCTTGATATTTCTCGTCGTCACCTTCCTGGTCGACAACATTTTTAGTGTGGTGATCGCCGTGATGATGACGATGAATACATCAGCGGGTATGCTTAATTGTGGATCAAAAAATTGCATGGAGCTCATTGATGTATACCAGAGGAACTGATCCTCTCCGGCACCTATCAGTGCTCGATTGCCTCTGCCAGAGATTTCCCGCTTCTCGCTGCCATTACTTGGATGGCTTGCACTGTGTGGGAGGCCCTTGCACTGTGTCTTGCAGTCTGGATTGTTGTAAAACACCTCCGTGAACTGCGACAATATTCGGCAGGAGGAATTGTCGGGAACTGTTTCAAGGTGTTGATGAAAACTCACATGTTTTACTTTTCGAGGTGAGCTCGTATTGTGAATATGGTTCTCTTTTTCTGCTGAAGGATTGGACGTGCTAGCTTTGTTGCTGTTTCTTGTCTCAGTCTCGTAAATGATCTGACTCCGATGATCTCAGTAGTATGCCAGTTTTTCACTGACACCTGTATGCGACCACAGTTCATCATTTCTATAGAACAATTCTCCCCTGGGTTGGTTTCTTCAACTTTTACAGGCCGTGCAGGTGTTCGTATTTGGCCCACGCCTGATCCTTGGAGTTCGAGAATATCACGCTAAGCTCGTGGCCGACTCCGACGCAGCAACGGGCATGACCTCAATCGCCTTCCAGGAGCGCGTGCATATATTGACCGGCAATGGTGTGTAGCACGGGAGATGCTCGATGGAGTTGACGGTTGTCTGGTGCTCTGGAGGGAGCAGGAGAATTTTGTTTTTGCTTGATTCTAAGTTTGGTTTGTGGTATTTATTAGTTATATGGTGCATGTAAGCTAATTTATGTAGTTGGCGTCAATGGCGTGAGTCGGGAATATTCACGATGTCGAATACATTAACCTCTGCATGATGGATCAATGTCACGCTTGTATTTGAATGGAGGTAAGACAAGACGCGATGTCTGATGAGCTGCTTGTTGTTAGCACGCGGGACCTTGAGCTCGAGGACCTCTGGTAGACCTCTACAAAGTTTCGCAACATCACTCGATGAGATCAACAAGTCACTAGTCACTCCTTGAATTTCAACAACTCACTTCAAGTTCTTTACTTGCAAGCTTGACGTTAATATTGCTGTCGCACCGTTACCATTTGAATCTATATTCACTCAGATCGTACGTTCTACTCGTGTACATGTTGCAATATTTGCTACTGTGCAGTTCTGTGCACTACATAATTCGATCACGCATATCGGGTGCGGGCATGAGGACATGATCACGATCTACTGAGCGCTGAGTCATCTAGGACGTCACCGATCACGGTGACGTCGTCCTATGAATGACGTTGTGTTCCAAGCCAAGCCAGTCTGATCCTTTTGACACACCAACCAATGGAACTTGGTTTGTCCTCAACGCCCGGTAAAAAAACACAGTACTTCGACGCACTCGAGTACCCGTCCGAGAACGTCAAAGAATCCAGTAGTCAGGGGCAAAGCTTCATGATGCCCAACAATCCAGGCAACACTCCTACACCAAACGGTAACATCTCAGGTTCAAAGGCCCCGCCGTCAAAGGAAGATAGTACTATGGAGGACAACCACCCGGGGTTCACGAGCCGTCACAGCGAAGATCTTTCAGACCGCAGGACTCCGTCCATTCAATCGCTTCCCGTATGTACGGAGGACATAGACGAGGATGCGCCTCTCGCTGGTAATATGGACGGCGGGCGCAGCACTTCGCTGGGGAGAAGAGCCTCCGTGCGCACAACAAGAAGCAATCGCACGACTAGATCGGTGGCTGAGGCGACAGCGGCCTTTCAGAGCGGGTCAGTTCTCACTGGCCCGAACGCCGAGCCAGATGTAGACGCGGCCGTGGTCCTCAGGGGCGTCACCGCTGAGAGATCCTTGAGTAAGAAACAGAAAGATAAAATCATAAAGGATGAGCGTGAGCATTCTGTCATGACGAGTTTCCTTCATAACTGAGGCCCTTCGGTAGAGCGAGAGTCGAAGCGTTTTTCCAAGCTTCTGAAGACAGACTCTAAGTTGGAAAAAGCTGCATTGGCACAGGCTCTCAAGTCTCTTGCGGCTCTGCAAGATCTTCACAAGGCTGCCTGCAAACTCGAAGCCAGAGCAGAGGCTACCCACTACAAGTCGCTCATGGCCGCTCAGAAAGCTGAGAGTACGTTCCTTGAAGTAAGGGCTCGTGCTGAGGAGGAGCATGCGCGATGGGAGGGCAAGAAAGCGGAGGTCAAGGCTCAAGAGGAACGCTTGGAGGCGGAGAGGGAGACCGTAAGAGAGATGGAGGACCGTATGGCAGAATGCGCCCGCGAGGTCGAAAAATTGAGAATCCTAAAGGCCACTGACGAGGTACGAGCGTGTATGGATTTTTTTAGTATTGCGATTAACCTTCCTTTAGAGAGAAAGGGAAGTCAAGATGGCGGAGATGTTGAGAAAGAAAACATAACACAAGGTATTTTCACCTCTATCATATTCATTGCAATCCTCTTTAGACCTCCCTGATCGATACATACCATTATACTGGACTATCGCCATCCCAGATATACACGTTTACGCATTAATGGTCATTACCATCACCCGTGCCATGTTTGTGATAATTATTCACGTTAATATCTACCTACACACGACTATGTACCAATACACGCACAAGATTTATTATAACAGAGCCCATGTGATGCCCTACAACGCGTAGGGAAATGTCAAAAAAAGTCAGATGGATGTTCTTGGACCGTACGAGCTTCGTTGTATTTGGTGAAGAAAACACAATCGTACGAATCGACTTCGATAAGTCACCCCCCGAGACATCCCGCACCAAACCTGATAAAGAAAGGACGCGAGCCCACCGTGGCGATACGCACTTCAAACACCTGTGGATACAGACAGAATCAGCATCAATGCTACACGCGTAAATGAAAACGCGAAGAAGGATCAGATGGCTGTTCTTAGTTTTTTTTCTAGTGTTTTCACCATCACCATGAAGGCTTCGGATTTGGTGATATAGATATCATCCTAAAAGAAAAAGCTAGTTTCAGGGAGATAACTCACCCATCCTCATACACGAAGGTTCTTCGGATGCGCCATCGTTGAAACGTTGATGTACAAAAGCTAGTGATTAGACAACGGGGTAAACCACGATGGAGAAAAGAACTCTCGAGAAATTTGTCTGCGGAGGTTAAATACTGCATGATGCGGAGATCAATTATGGTAATGCCGAGTGTTGCCGAGCTCTCCATGCTAAATTATCTCGCCATGACTTGTCGAAAGGATATAAGGCGTGTCATGGTATGAAGACATGAACGGAAATAAAAGGGCTGGTACTAAGTGTCAACGGGACATGGCGAGTGAAGTATTATAGAGAGTATTAGGTCAATTCTAATTGTGGTTGGAACAGTGATAGGCCTTGATAAGCTTAGATTTCTTGTTGCAATGGAATTCTGATGTAAAAGATATCGATAATCAGTGATTGAGATCATGACGAACTGTTCTCCTTCATTCAAGGTACAATCGATGAGATTGTAGTCAGTTGCTGACATAGCTGAAGGCTTTGAAGGCCCTATTAAAAATAAGCAACCCTTGGAACGATCTAAGAATATACCATGATAATACGGCTAAATGATGTCTAAATTTGGAAACATTAATACTGCGGGGCACCTATGGAAATTTCCGACATCCATACTCGATTCACCGCAGTACTGTTATTCGAGAAATGCATTCACTTGAATATCTTATTAACAAAGCCTCTATTACGCGAAGACTACATATATATACCAGATGACCAACACGCCCCCAGGCTTCAGGCTATGCACACGTTTTCGATCGTTCTCGTAAGGCTTGGTATGAATTCCACGAAATAACAAGTACATTTCCACTTGTACAACAAACATAAACAGTCATAAGTAACTTAACAAAATAAAAGTAATCAGATGTCTATTGAAGCAAAGTGGACTGGTATACAGTGAGGTATGACCTCAGAGGCCCACAGGTCCCGCTGTAGGATGGGTATTAATAATTACAAGGTAGCACTTGGCCAAAAAAAGAATAATGCGAAGGTCGGTAATGAACAGCAAAGGCTCAAAGTAGCTAACTTGCTGTATATCCGCATACGCAGCAAGGCTTGGAGTCCCTCAATCATGAATAATCAATACCAGATTCAGGATGCCTCGGAATAGCTGTACGTGGGGCCCCGTCAGCAGGAGCTTTGGCGGGGTTCGCACAGGAACTAACCTTAAAGATTAGGGAGAGCGGAAACCTCCTCATGTTCCAATCCGCGCCAGAGTTCGCCAGATCGCCGAGAGAGACCCGTTACTAGGTCTACCTCTTCGTGTTCTCTCCCCTTCCAAAGCTCCCCGGACCGCCGGAGAACTGCGCAAAGGAGTGTATGTTAGTAAAAGCTTGCAACTCGACGTATTTCAAAGGTCACCTTCAGTAATCGCTGTTGTCGCAGGTAAATGGACCTTATCGTGAACATTGTTCTTCCACAGAGCACCAGTAGCCTCTTTATAATAAGGTTCTGTAGAATGTGTAGAAGTCGCGGCCGCGGTAGATGTTGTGGTCACTGTTGCGGGGATAGCAGCACCGAGAACAGATGATGAGAGAGCAAGATAAACTACAAAGCGGGCCAAGGAGGTCATCATATTGTTAGAGATATTGGGGAGAACGAGTCTTGTTTATATGGACGATGTTGGTATACAGTGACTATGAATATCGAAATTGATTGGGATCCTCATACCATTTATACGCCGCCATTGTTACTAGACACGCACACTCAGGCCCCGTTGACGACCAGTAAGAGTCATATTGGCTGACTCTGGGGCAAGAGCGATGTCCAGGAAGCAGTGATCAGCTCGTGACAGCTGTTCTGACAACAGGCACTGTAAACATCTTTGTAAACCAGAACGATTTTCGGTGCCGAGACACCACCATCTTTGTATCACGAAACGAGGCACTCTCAACAGCATCTCCCGCGGAAGCTACAAATTACTTTTTTCAGTGGCAGGGCGGAAATGAGAGCTGCTACTCACGGCTGCCAGAAATAAAAATCAGGGCACCGGTATGCATCCCGAACGCCTTGTTCCCTGTCTCGGATATGATGGAACGCCTCAAGTGCGGCACTAGATTCAGGGGATGAATAAGTCGTGCACTTAGAAAAGAGACCTAACGGGTGTAGAAACTGTGTTCTGTTTCCTGATACGGCAGTTTTGGGGGGCGAAATGTGGCTTGCTAACATCCGAGCGGTACAGCTGCACGATTGCAATAGTATTGAGATGATAGCATCCAATAAAGCTCTCTGTCACGCAAGAGCGCTATGTTGCGACGGAGGCACAGGTACTGCTGCAGTCCGCCAGCATCCTGTATATGTCTCACCCATTGTTGATGCGTACGAAACCAGTGTTGATGCCTGGGAGTCAGTTGTGATAATTATGAATGGGAAATCCAAAGAACCGCACGTTCTGTATCATCTGGGCACTGTCTGTCAACGGAGTATGACATAGTTGGAGTACGCACCATCCTTTGACTTGCAGTACACAACGTTGTGGTAAGTGACAAGTTTGGCATGAGTCGGAGTGGAGTTACCCTGCCCGAGGCACAAATATGGGGTGGGAATCCGAATTTCCGGAGTCTCCGTCCGGTTGCACCGCAGGTCTGTCCGGAATCAGCGGATCCGCCTGACAACTTGTCAGTTCTCGGCATCGTGTCATACAATGAGCTCCTTTTATGACTCGTTACAATCTCGAACACGTCAATCTAACAATCTCTCAGCGCTGGCTTGGCCCTCCCTGAAGATCACAGCTTTGCGCAGCTGCAGATGGCTTGGGTTTTTGCTTGACCTTCTTGTGTACCGGGCTGGCCGGCCTTACTGAAGGTGCTACATTGTTGTGCTCTCCTGCCAATGGACTCAACCGGCCCTCCTATCCTCTTTATTTACACTCACAACTCACTGACACGGATGCCGCCGCCGATGGCCACTTTTTAGGGTCACGATTGGGTGCGAAGTATGGATGTTGAGACAGGACAGTCTTTCCTTTCGGGATTATAACGCAAACACCAACCTTTCCCGGACGTGGCCCACACACACACACACACCCCAGCCCAGGCAGCTGAGTGGTCTTACTGTCGACCCTCTGCAGGATCTTGCGGTCATAGCCTTCTTGCCTGATTTTGTCTTTGCAACCGACGTCGGACAAGATCACCATATCTTTTAGTGGAGTATCGGTCGGCTTCATTCTAGTGTCCCCATCCGGACTCTTCCTGTGCTTCCTTGGAGTGTAAACATACCCATGATGCACCTGGCAATTATTTGTTTATGTTGTGGAACAGCCCAAAATCTTTGACAATCGTGTATTTGTCTACTATTGCGTAGACAACGGGCGACATAGCTTCGCCCACTACATTCATGCAAGTGATTGATTGGAAGAAGGGACATGCGAAGAGTGTAAGTTCCTCTATTTTGAGAGCTCTGCTGTGTAGCATAAGCAGTGTCTTACTAGATCGAAGAGATGGTCATGTGCAGCAATTCCACGGAGTCGACCAACGAGCGATTGTTGTGATCGGCTCGAGTCTTATGACCGTATGCGCATTGCAAGAACCTGATGCCTGACGGTGGGTCGCCTCAGCCGTCCATCTTTGTCAATTGCCCTCGTACATGTCAACCCATCGTTCCGATGCGTAGCGGCCTGTACAAACCATATGCTCGGCTATCTGCCATCGTGGGTTTGGAGGTTCTCTTCAGCATATCGTCCGTTATTCTAGTCATCGACATGGTCATCTCCTCGTGAAGGACCCTGCAGTCAGAGACACATATCAAGGTTCCCTGGTCGGAATGGGGTCTTCAGAATGCGTGCTGCTTTCCGCATCACCCGAGCCACTGAATCAGTGTGTTTGGCCTAGTATCCTCTTCCTTGATATCGTTCTTCTGGATCTGAGCAAAGGCTGGGAGGACTCCCCACCAGTGGTTACTTCCATCTCTACATCTGGCACTTCAATAAGTGAGTCACTGCCCGTTCGGAAAATACGTACGGTACAATTCGAACTCGCCGAACCTTCACATTCACCAGCCTGGTCGCCCAATTTGGACGCGTCATGATGAAGAGGTCATTTGAATCACCCTTACATTGCTACCGTCTGTCGTGCGCTTTTTTCCACGCGCGGGGCTGTATGTTTTTGCCTGGGCGGGTGTTCTTGGTCGCGGATACAGCAAGTTGACTCTAGTTTCAAACTGACCCGGTTGATATTTAGGTCATTTCCCTTGTATGGACGGAGGTTGGGTTGGTGGACCTCACAGACTAGCCTAAGACATTTCTGCAGTACAGTTTGGATGGTCAGGCCGCCCTAGCTTTTCTTTCAGGAAAGCTATACCTCGGTTCACCAATTTAAATCTGTGCAGAATACCAGTGCAAGCACTTTGTACGTGACATGATCCAGTACAGTGTATTATATCTGTGAGAGGTGACGAGACTCGGACTAAGGAACTAAGGATGGGAACGGACTCAGTCTTGGATCGAAAGACTAAGATTAACTATGGATCATACCTAAGGATGGGAACGGACTTAGTAGAGTAATAGTTAGTAAGGGTAGAGTAGAATCGTTAATAAGAAAGCTCACCTCAGTCTTGGATCGAAAGACTGAGGGAGATTATTCGACGAAGAGAGGAATTAATACGTTTGATTGAGACGGAGAATCAATGGGGAACGTGTATGACGCATGGTAGGAGGAGTGATTGTGTATGTAAAAGGAAAAAGGTTGAGTACGTATAAAGGTCATATCTTGATAATATCCCACCGCTATTTGAACACAAGCGTTGAACCTCTCTGCACAGCCGTTGTAAGAACCTGTCGACATCGTTGTCCTGTACGCTCGATACAATAGCCCGTAGCGTGGGAACGACTGGAGGGACAGTGGTGGAAATGTATGTCCTTCAACTGCTAAGTAGCGTGCCAGTGGTTTCTCACTCTATGACGAAGCGAGGCAGCACAAGGTCTGAAAGTTTCGACTTTGGAAGAGCGGCGTCTCATCTTTCCGTTCTTCCACTAACAAGAACTTCGACGGATCTATCATCGAGCTCTTTTCTTTTCCCCACCCGCTTTCCACCATCTCTCCACCACGTTTCGCAACGGTGGGCCTCGCATCATGCAAAACTGCTCTTGTGGACTCGATTAACATAAATTTCCCTTCCAGGTCCCTGCGAGGCTGGCCGCTCACCCTCGCAGTTCACCTCTCTTCTTGGGCAGATCTTCGACTGGAGACGGCGCTGCGCGCTTTCTCACATTCTCTTAGTCTTCGTAGCACGTTCTGTTATCCCATAGCACCGAATATCTTCCCAAATGAACTCTCCACACAACATCGACCAAAGACGGAACATATCATGAGTTTGTAGGCAAATGACATGACAGATCCTCAGTTAAATTCCTGCTGGAGTTTGGCTGGAGCTGTTGCCGGCATTGACTTCACCGTTCTGGTTACAGCACGAAAGATAAGATAAACACGTGTCCAGGTAATATCACTAAGCGCCAACTATTTTGTCTGGATGTGCTCGTCCATGAAGGTCGTATTGTCCAAAAGTCTCACTCCTTCGCTGACCCAATCATACCTGGTTACACAATATTCCAGCATCAGATCCGGGGCGGCGCGATATAGCCACATCCCACACTGTGAAATCGGTGGGACTTGCCGGTCGTCTCATCCATTTCGGTGTCAACCTGTCCGAATTGCACCCTCACCTCTCCAACCAGTAACTTCACTCTCACGACGAGCGATGTCTTCTTCCTCTGGAAACACTTTTTATGATTTGAAAACAGAGTTGCCTAGCGGGCAAACGTATGACTTTGAACAGCTCAAAGGGAAGGTTGTATTGATTGTCAATGTTGCGTCGAAGTGGTAAGTCGGTAACTATGGTAGACCTACTAGTGATTCACTCTTTGGAATCTCCAGCGGTTTCACTCCCCAATACAAAGGTGCAGTCTATAGATCTCGAAGTTGATATGCGACTGACACAGGACACCTAGGCCTTCAGGCTTTGTACGACAAGTACAAGGAACGTGACTTCGTCATTCTCGGTTTCCCATGTAACCAAGTGGGTTACTCCAGTCACTGTTTCACTGCGATATAGAGCTCAATAATATCCATTAGTTTGGCGGCCAAGAGCCTGGCGATGATGCCGCCATTGCATCTTTCTGCGAGCTCAATCACGGAGTGAACTTTCCTCTTATGAAAAAGTCTGACGTAAACGGTGACAACACGAACCCTGTTTACCAATGGCTCAAGAATGAGAAGCCTGGGCTCATGGGCCTCTCCAGAATTAAGGTTCGTCATGTAGGGTTGGATCGTCGATGTGCATGCAGCTAACGCAACTTCCCACTCGCAGTGGAACTTCGAGAAGTTCTTGATTGACAAGAACGGAAAAGTCTTGAATCGCTGGGCATCGACAACTACTCCTCAGGCGATTGATGCTACAGTGGAGAAGCTTCTTGCTAAGTGATGTCGTTGAATGCACCATAGGGATTTGAATCGCAGTACCGCGATGTGTCCAGACGGTGCAGATACTTGTTAGAACACATTCTTTGTAAGAGGCATATCTTGCAATCGATTGCTAAAAAGTTTGTCATTCAAATATCCTTGAAGGGGCTGTGCTCCAAAAATCGAGGTCCTTTCCTGGTGTCTTCGAGAGTTGATGCGCTCCTTTACTCCGCACCGAAGTAAGGAAGCGTCAGACTCAGATTCGTCGCAGATCACTCGTTGCTGCATAAAGGTTATGCCACACTTCGTGTTCCGGCGTTCCTTCTTAAGTTCAAGGCCACCAATAATTGGCGGAGGAGGTCAGATCTCCACACATACCTTAACTCGGGGAGACTAATATTTCCATATCATTGAACAGCGGTAGCTAGGTGAACCTAGGCCTAGGTTGGCACATGATATTGATATCTCGGCATTATTACCCATTTTCATATACAATTCTTAATTGAATACACGCACCGTTGATCGCGGGAAACAATCGGCAGAACTGCAGGGAGGCGAGTCAAATGGTGTAGTAGGGGATCCGTCCCCCCGGGTGGAGTCCATCTCGACCATTATTTACTCTTGCTATCTCTGACTCAGAGAAGGAGAATATCGATATCCCAGGCAGTGCGGGTGCTCGAAAGCGTCAGAGTGATGCACAAATGTTTGTTTCTGTTGCTGCGGCTTCGAAGAGGATTCGCACCTAGCAGTAGTTTTATTTTCTTACGACTTACACACATTACTTTCACAACGTTTAGCTATGTTATCGTCATGTTCTCGTTACGCCTTCGCTACGTCAAGGTTCGCAGATGTATACTCTCGCGTCTCAGATCTCATGTAATTACAGCCACAGTTTTCCAGGTCCCTGCCAGTTCTTCGATATTCTAAGTGACAAAATACAACTAACTCAGGAAATTTGCGCCGTGGCCATCGACTATCACGGTACTAGTACAACCCACTCAGTGCCTTGATTCTTTGCGTCGCGCATCCTTGAGCGCCACTCACAGGTGACACGGTAAATTTCTCGATAAAGTTAAATATGGCAATGCCAAATGAGGACGCTGAGCTTCCATTCCTAACAAAGCCAAACATATTCTTCTATTATGTAATATCGCCGGTTATTGGTCGGAAGGCAAACTAGCAAAGTTCTTAGCTCCCATAATGAAATATTTTTCAAACCAGACTGCGGATTGTCGATTCTATTCGAATTTATTTCCAGCCACCTAATCCCTGCGTGCTGTTTTGCGGGCTGACGCATTTCTGTAGGTAAATTTTCCAATTTCTTTCAAAGTAAAAACCATCATGATTGTGATCAGAGTCTTCTACATTGCTGCAACTCTGGATTGCGACCATAGCTCCAGTCAGGGCTATTTGGCACGATTCTGTACTGGCTTACGAGTTGTATGCGGATTGCATAGTCAGAGTAAGTAAATCTGAGTCCCAGATTTGAGTCGTTTGACCATAACACAGGTAACCGAACCTTCGTACCTTGGAGCCGACGATCCGCTCATTCTGATTGGAGTTAGAGTATTTCGACATTTCTAGAGATCAACAGTGTCAGCCTCGTTCAGGGCCATGATCGGCCCCGAGTCCTCCATATGTGTAATTCCATCAAAATTAATATCAATAATTGTTTGATTGTTTACATTACCTTCAGGTTGCTTACAATTTCAGCCTGAATGCGCACCATACATCTTTATCGATGTTGCGCAACTTGGACTAAAATATAGCCGGTCGGGTGCATTGCGCTTTAAAGGTACGCTGAGTGGTTTTATCCAGCGAGACAGTTAAAGGAGGGAGCTAGCCGTTTTTTGTCAGTATCCCTGTACACGTGGTTCCCTATTCTTGTGCTCTGTGCACCCGAGTCAGCGTGCTGTCCCTCGTTGCCGAACTTTTTATCGCGCGCTCATTGAGCACAAGCTACGAGCTCGAGATAATGAGCAGGACACGTGATGCATTCATTGTGCCGGCTTGTGGCAACTGTGCCCCAATTATTTGGTTGTCGCATATTCTACCTTTGTTATGCAAATGTGGCGACATAAATAGCATTGATTTGGTTCTAGGTAAGTTATCGGAACATTCGCTAGAGCATCCACACTTGAATGGTTTTCGGATATTGAGAAATTGCTTTGTGGTTGTGGTTGTGGATGCAGTGGTGCGTCCACAGTAGCCCAACCTTTATATACTGACATGCTGATTCCCTGCACCAGCAGACGCACTACCACCTCATATTCTTTGCAACTTTACATTCCTTGTTTCCTCACACCAATCATGAATTCGTTCAGGAAAATATTCCAAAAGTGAGTCGACCGTTTTTGTGTTCAACTCATTGCCATCATACTAATCATCACACCTCAGGTTGAACGATGACCAGAAGATGTCACTTAAGCACTCTAAATCGATGCCATATGAATTCTCTTCAGAAGGGAGGAAGCGCGAGCCTCGTAAAGATGCGTTCAAACCCGCGCACGGTGGCAAGACTCCCCTTAAAAAATCCGACATCGTGTACGTCGAGCAAGCTCCAGGGATGCTCGAGATCTACCACGGCAAACTATCGCAACACGTATACTACCATGGGCCGACTCGCGCAAACGTTGAGACGCGTGCGGACTTGCTGGCCAAGTTTCCCTATTCCCCTCAACCAACTGAGGGCCTCCCTCGCACCGGTTTCAGAGCACTTTCTTTGAAAGCCACTGTTGATCAAGCTTCGGTGGATGCACTACGGACTCCTAACGACCATATTCGCAGTGGCAGACTGGCAGAACGCGTTCGCGCCAGGTCGAGCACTGATCGCTCGAATATCCCTCCTCCCCTCGCTCCCGCTCCCCCTCTTCCTACCACCCGCGCCCTACACACATTAGTCCCGGGCTCCCCAAGTGTAAATATTCGGGAAGTTCTATCCCATGTCACCGTCCCGACTCCTGCGCCAGCCTATCCACGGTCACACTGGCCTTACTCCCAATATGATGAGATTTCGCATGAGCAAGACCCGACCGTTCTCCGTGGAATGATCAATCGTTATCCCTTGGCGCCTGTTTGCAAGGAACGCTGCCCAGACCATATGCGCCCCATGCATCTTGACATGGACGAGCCGCACTCTCCCGAGAAGACAATTCAATGGTACATACACATGGCATTGGCCGAACGTCGTCCCCTCGATGTACGCGCTGGTGGCCGTTACCGCCGTATCGTTGACGTGAGTAACATGGGCATCGTTTAAACTGATTGGTCGCAGCTTTTATCGAGATGGAGGTTACTTTCTGAAGAGAGTTTTGGTGCTGGTTTACCTACTCGTCTATGTCATATGTTATGTATGCATATGCATATGGTTTATGAAACGAAATTTGTTTGCTACATGGTCAGCTTGACACATGAAAGTTTTATGAGTTGAAGCTGCGCTACTCAACTACTACTACCAATGCCTGTCCAGGTCTCTCCGCGAGGCCAGTTAGGTGCCAACACTCAACGTCTAACACCAGGCACAACCTTTGCAACACATCTTCCATATAAATGCAATCATATTAATATTGTGGTTCAAGTGTGATTCCGTGCATGTGACTCGGAAATGGAATAGATAGACGATGCGTCACCTCTGCTTTTGAACTCCGATGCTTGGCTCTCAGCACAAACGTGGGCCGACAGATCTGGACTCCTCTAGTATCTTGAGGTGGGGCTCCAGTGCATATTGTTCTGAATGTGAGTGGGATTCTAACTTCCTTGCCGTTACACTGTGCTTCCTTTGCCCTTCCATAACGATCGGCGTCCCAGTTGTCTCTTTCGTGCTCCAGCTCACAATCGGTTGTGATTGAGGTGTTGTCATTATAAACCATGTTCTCTTCAGCTGAACTATCCCGGCAGCCTGGACTTTGACCATTGCTTGGATTGTTAGTACGCTCGGACCTCTTTGGCTGGTGTTCCGAGGACAACCATTGAACAGGCGTCGGCATTGAGAGAAAAAGCGCTCAGCACCTGGATCCTGCCAGCGCTCTCCTCCTAAAGTTACTCCTTATACGTGATGAAGATTTCACGATTTGACGTGGATAACTGTCGCGTCTATTTGGCTCTGGGTGTTCTGCAGAAAACACCGTACTATAGGTACTCTGCATCTGGCGGAAAGATGCCGTTTATCGACAGTGATGGACCATAGCTACAGTCCATGTGGAACAATGTCTTGTCACGTCTCATACTGTCCACAATGGAGCAGCCGATGGAGTCCATAATGCTACGACCTCCACAAGTGGCCACACCCAGGCGAATAAATCACCAGAAGACCTGTGGGTCTGTGAATTCTTGTAAGATTGGTTATATAAGACCGAGTATCATGCAGTTGCTTGAGCACCAACAACTTTTAATCATGCATCGCGCTCTTGAATCCGAAGATATCATTTATTCTGTCTTAGAACACGTCAAGTCCTCTGCGATGGACTTAGTGAACGTGGCGATGACTTGCTCCACGTTGGCGGGTCCCGCTCTCAATATCCTTTGGTCTACACAGTCAAGTTTGGCACCCCTCATCATGTGTTTACCGCAAGACACCTGGGAGGTCGCGGAGAATCAAACTATCGTGAGTGGAGTATATCATGGGAGTCTTGGACAATGCTCACCGTACTCCAATTTGCAGGATCTTTCCAGAGAGCCAACTCCCATTGAGTGGGAACGCCTCAGAATGAACGCATCCAGAGTGCGCCGGATTCATATTAATGGCATCAGTTCCGCACTTCCCCCGAAGCCACATCTCACCCTGAGTGGTCGTGCCCTACAGAGGATTTTCGAGCAGTTCCCTCCAGCCATACTCTTCCCAAACCTTCATGCATTGGATTTCGAGGCTATATGTAATCTGCCGGGGTGTAGTTCAAAATTCTTGCTACTTCGGCAGTTCATGTCGCCTGATTTGGAATGCCTCTCGTTTGATGTACCTGGAGGCGTCCAGACGTATGAGGTAGAACAATTACTTGGTGCTTTTCCTGCAGAAGCGTACGGCCTACGTGAACTGATAATAAGGACGAACCATTGTGCCACGACTTTTACAGTTCCTCCGAGTTTCGGAAAGCTGCCAAAGTTAATTAGACTGGCCATTGAGGGAATCGACGTAGGCCTGACGAGGCAGACAATCACCAATATCCAGCCTCAAGCTCAGTGTCTTCAATCCCTCACGCTTACTTTGCGCGGGACCTCCTGCGATGTGGGTGGTATGCCCTTTGAATTCCATGGTCTCTGGCACCTCTGTCTCTTTGGCGATTCCTTGTCACAATCCACACACTTCCTTCGTCAAATCACCGCCAGACAACTAGCATACATCAGTATCGGGTATTCCGAACCTGCTTCCCCGGCCAAAATCACCGAGTTCATGGAATCTTTGTCCACATTGTGCCAAAATTTTGGATCCTTGCAACAGATATATATGATCGACACATCACATATACAAAAATTCGAGGACGCCATTCCACTCCCCTCCGAAGTCTTCCGACCCTTGCTCAAGTTCAGAAGGCTGTCGTCTGTTATATTAGTCGGCATTGGAAATTACAACCTTGACGATAAGTTCATCAATGATGTCGCAGTTGCCTGGCCGGATATCCAGGCATTGAGGTTCGCTTCAAGGAGACGTGCCAGTTGTACCGTCACCTTCAGCGCCATGATGTCAATGGCATCAAGGTGCAGATCGCTGCATACCTTACATCTGACGATCGATGCTACACGACCGACGACAACTCCTCGAGCACCTGATGGGACCGAGGAGCTTTGGCCCCCGCAAACAGCCCTTCAAAAGCTGCATCTTGGACACACGGAGGTGTTGGAAGTTGCACGCGTTCCATATCTCTTGGCTGAGGTATTTCCAACTCTATCGGATTTCTTGTGGTATGAGAGCTTTGTGGATTCCGATACCGATCTCACCATGGAAGATGCACTGGAAGAAGCATGGCAACAACTAAGGGTACTTCGGAACTTGGCTGACGACGACCATGACGACTACGACTGGGAATGGGAGGGGATTTCAGACAGCGAAGACTGGATGTAAGGAGCATAGGAGGTTCCATTGCAACGTAATCGAGGTTGTGTTTGTACCATGTTGATATAGCTGCTGTATGTCTGCTATGTAATGCTTATGTTCCTGGTGTTGGTGTATGCCTGAAAGCAGCAACACGTGAAAAAAGTAAGTTACGCTGTGGTTCGCGGTCTATTGTATCTCATGACCCCCTTAATTAAGTCGTATCATTTCACTGGGCTTATGGTATGAGTTATGGATGCGATATACTGTGTGCTCGCGATCTTTCGTCCCCAAAAATGCCCACCAGTTCGCGCTAGACGCATGAGACACAGTCTTTAGAAATGGCCTCTTGCCCGCCCTCCACGCCAACACCGGTATCAAGAGGACGATGGTAACTTGATGCACAATGCAAAATAGTGACACTTTCAAGCGAGATAGCAGGATCAAACAGAAGTGTGGCTCCCTGATTCTGAATCAAAAGGTTAGGACAATCGCTTAGGAATGAATTTGTTTTGCTCATCACAGCCAAACCACGTCTGCGAACGTCCCACCGGCAAGAGTGAGAACCAGTACCTAATAGGGCTATATCTACCACAATTGTCTGCAGATGAGGGGATTCAGAAATCACGAAAGTAGAGCGTTGGAATATATCGTTGTAGGTAGTAGTAGGTCTGAATCGGATGGTCATACCATCTAGTTCAGATTTACTGTTACCTGCTAAGCAAGTAAATGATGGTGATGAAGGACGTGTAGGTGAGAGAAATTCAGTGTGTTGAATTCGCCGAGCTCCGATCAGTAGTGACACTCCAAGGTTATTAACTGAAGGGGTGATGGCGTTATAGAAGGTATCTCCTAGTGCTGCCCAAAAGCGCAATGGTGCATGATGTGGGGAGGCTGGGTACTATGTCAAGGGCAAGTGGCCGAATGCCAGAGCGAGTTGAGAATGGATCAGACATGGAAGAAGCAACTTCAATATTTGATGCCCTAGTTAAAGGTGCTAGTGAAACTAGCAGGAGACGCGCTCAGTAACTTGAAGTCACGAAGGACAATACTATATTGATGGTATATCTACCTAGCGGGAGACACGCTAGGATACATCAATACGAGTAACAAACAAGTAAATAAACATTGCACACCTCAGTGAGTCACGAAGAACAATACTGAGGTGTGATGGAGATGGTACGAACTATATATGAGAGACCATGAGATCAGGTAACAGAACCAGGGAATGGTCGTGCGGAGTGTTCGTATGGTCAAGAAGCAAGGTGCCAAGACGGATTTGCATTACATGTGTCGAGAAGGCAATACGAAGTCTAAAGGTAATAAGAACTAAAATCCAATACTAGTTGTTGAGGAAAACTTGAAGAACCTGGATAGGCGAACAGTGCCTGCATTGAATTTGTAGCAAGTCGACGACTCGTCAAACGAGGTGAGGACCAGGGGCAAGATGACAAAATTTTCCTGGATGGTGGTGTCTCCATATGAGAAAATGCTAGGACAATCTAGTCTGTCGTTCACAGACTGGCAAGATCTGAGGCAGCTGCTGGATGGTGGCATCATGGACCTGGATGCGGTTTCACTGTGAGTATGTCACGTTGACAACAGACATGGAGACCATGCACTTTTCGTCCAGAACTAATTCCGAATCATTAGTTGCGAAGATGAAGACAGGGTAATACGACAGTAGACTTGTCGTAAGTACTAGGAGAAGCTCCAAGTATCCAAGCCGGAAACACCCGGGGGCTATTTCACTTCTGCCTCCATCCCAATAATTTAATTGGACCATCGATCATGATCACCCTTGAAGCTTGATCTGTTATGGGTACACTTCGACATGTAGTCCTCTTCTATCCACCCCTTGGTGGAAAGAAGGATTGTGCTTCTTCAGACCAACTTGTTGCAGAACGCGTGAAGGACTCGGAGGCTGCACCTGTCAGTGCTGGATAAAGGTGCATTTTTAGTCACTCTACTTATGACTCGGAGGACGCAAACTGACGTACAACATTTAAACATTACATCTAACCCCGAAATCACACGCAGGCTATTTTCCATCACCTGTGTGTCCCAGGACAACTGATCAGATTGCCACCCGTTAACGCGTCAGCCCGATCTCCCAAGAAATTATCTGTGGATTTCTCGACGCCAATTACTCCTCATTAGGCATCTCTGGTAACTCGAGGATAGTATGACTCTTCTTGAGCTCGCCATCATCTCTATCGGTCTCTATCATGTTTCCATACTTCCGTCCCATGAGTTTAGTCAAGTACGTCCTCGCCTGCCACGCCTTGGCTCATTTGTGTTTCTTTGCGCATTGAGCTTCTCTAATACCCTCTTCCCTCTCGTCCTCCATCATATCACATCTTATCGCCCTGTCTGGGTCATCTCCATTCACATATCCCCATACTTTCATCTCTGAACCGCCACTCTCGCTCTCGAAGCCTTGAGCTTTCACGTAGAGTCAGTTTTATGGTACTCTCGACCCGCAGCACACAGCGATCACCTCGAGGATAATTCATGATCCAGGAGGATAACCATAGGGTATGTGGAGTCCGACGTCATCCACTAAGTCCTAATCAAATTGGGTTGCTCATCTTCTCCTATTTGCGAGCGTTTTGATGATTAACAACATCACAGCAGCTACAAGTGACGTGGTTGGGCCCTGTTGATGTACAGTCACCAACTGAGTCACAATCACGTTATCTTCTGGCCCTTCGATGCATCACCCGCAAGCAGAAAACCCATCAAGATCGACCTCGTCGATATGAGCCATAGGTAGGTGAACCTTGAAGCATCCGATGTTTGAGTCGGTACCAAATGAGTTTCTCATGCATACCTCAGACATTCACTCTGCCAGTTTCCTCCTCCCCTTTACTACAAGATCCTACGATTATTAAACACGCCGCTGCTCAAGACTCAAGTGTCTGGCTAGGTGTTCTGCGCTGCTCATACCAATGCTTGGGAGGTATGCACGATCCTTTTTTTCCCTCGCACGGGTACAACTCATTCGGCCATAATGTCGGGAATGCCACAGGTATACGTTGTTTCTCGGCTGTGAGGCTCGCGGTCGTAGTCAGGCTTTGAGACATTTGCAGTACATCAAGGATATTATGGCCATGTCCGAAGTCCATCACATTAGCTGTGTCAGTGAAGCCTTAAACCTACTCACTTGCTGCAATCCTTTTTGCTTCTGCTATTATATTTGGTTACTCTTGTAGACTCGATAGCACGTGTTTGTGTGCTAGCGTCCCATCATTCCGCAGCGGGATATTGACAGTGGCTGTTATGATGGAAATGGACGCTCGCTCTCTATTACGGCCATGTTTTCATCTGTGGTACACAGGAAAGAGTGGCTTTTTGATGATCGAAGCCTTGGTGCTAACTAAATATGAGAATGCACACCGGGAGTGAGCTGCCGAAGCCAGGATGTTCATCTTTTGCACTGTTTCCTTCAGATACTTGGCCAATCAAGGCAAGAACGGATACAGCCCCTTTGATGATGCTCATCTCGGTTATACAAGCGCTAGATGGTTGTATATCTAGCCCGAACACTCGTACGTTCACCAAGTTTCCCGCTCCCTCACATCGATCCTCTAACAGTACTACTATGACCCTAGTCTCAGACGACCCTAGTTACTGGCCGTCAATCAATTTATATCGTGTTGCCAGCTATTTTGGAGGTTCGTGGAGAGCAGTCAGAGATTGTCGTTGCCGCTGACGCCTCGATCCAACCTTGACTGTGGTTTCGCAGTTGCCGCCGCCGCCGTAGTGACGTATGATTGGGGTGAGTTTGATAATATTTAAGAATAGCTGATATCCTACAAGTATTTTCAGCACTTGCATTCGGACAAGAGGTATTTCTAATACTGTAATAGGAGCAGCCATCTTGCTAACAATAATTTTAGGTCGAACTGATCTGGGTGAGCGGAATTATACATCAGAGGAACAAATTTGATTTGCGACAGAGGCAACATTGGTCCCTTATGACTGTTCTGTATCTAAGTGTATGTAGCTTGTATTACAGCTGTGGTTGACAACTCGTGCTGACTCTTGAAAATATCCTAGGTGCGCTATCTTGGAATGTTGTATGTTATGTATGTTCAGAAGGCTCAGCACTGTTGTTGTACTGATGAACCACATCTCACAATCAGTTTTCACATACTGAGTATATCTTCTCACATCCACGATCTTTGCCTCTTCTGACCTGCGACATACAGACAGTATTCCGACAATCTTGTTGACAGACGCAGTGAGTGTTTTGCACTGATGCCCTGATGCCTGCTCTTCCCCTTCGATTAACCGTGACACCCTGCAGGAGTGAGTGTGGCTCTTGACCAGCTTCTTGGCTCATTATAATGAATGCCATAGATGTGAGTCTGTTTGGAGTGCGCTACCCGAGGCTGATCACTGACTGCATTCCTCAGGCCGGATTGTATACATCATATGGAATTGGATGAACGTTGTGGTAAATCCAATGCTGGGAGGTGAGCTCTGCAGTTGCAAGACCACAGTGATATTAACTTGACTGAAACATCTCGCAAGTCATCATGATCGCTCGGTTACATGCCATGTATCAACAATCCAAGAAGATCCTGATATTTCTCGTCATCACCTTCCTGTCTGCCATCATCTTCAGCGGAGTGGTCTCCGTAATGACAACATTGCATACTTCATGGGGTACGCTTAATTATGAATGGAAAAATGTGCATGAAGTTCATTGGTGTATACCAGAGGAACTCATCCTCTCTGACACCTATCAATGCACGACTGCCTATGCAAGAGATATCCTACTTCTGAATTCCGTTACTTGGATAATCGGCACTGTGTGGGAGGTCTTCGTACTGTGTCTTGCAGTCTGGGTTGCTGTAAAACACTTCAGCGAACTGCGACAACATCCAACAGGAGGAATTATTGGGGACTGTTTCAGGGTGTTAATGAAAACTCACATGTTGTACTTTGCGAGGTGAGCTCATATTATGAATATGTTTCTCTTTTTCCACTGAAGGATCGGACATGCTAGCTTTCTTGTTGTTTCTTGCTGCCGCCTCATTAGTTTCTTGTCACCAACAAACTCATCTGTATGCCAGTCCTTCACTGACCTGTGAATGCGACCACGGTTCATCGTTTTCTATAGGACCAGTCATCCCTGGGTACTCAGATGTATGAGGGGTTTCTTCAAATTTTACCGGTCGTGCAGATGTTTGTGTTGGGACCACGCCTGATCCTTGGCATTCGAGAATATCATGCTGAGCTCGTGGCCAACTCCGACACAGCGACCAGCATGACCTCAATCGCTTTCCAGGAGCGCGTGCATATATTGACCGCCAATGGTGTGTAGCACGGGAGATGCTCAATGGAGCTAATGGTTGTTTGGTGCTCTGCGGGAAGCAGGAGAATCAAGTTTTTGTTTGATTTTAAGCTTCGTCTGTGATACTTATGTAGTTATCTGGTGCATGCGGCGCATGTAAAAGCTAAATCATGTAGTTGGCGTCAACGATGTGAGTCGGGGATGTTAAATATGTCCCTACGGCGCATTTGTACACTGCTGTTCAGTTTGCTCGATGCTAACATTTACAGGACTGGTTGAACTAGGCCTTATAAAGCTCGTGCTTCCAGAGTGAATTTGTGTCCTTTACGCCTGTCAAAATACATGGGTTCACTCATCTCCTAGTACTGGTCAGAAAGGATCCAAGTGACTGTACCAAAGCCAGCCAAACACCGTCATGCACTTGGACCATTCAACCGCTCGTCTTCGTACACCTAAAAAGCATCCAACCCCATTGCATCCACCTCACCGCAGAACGTCACCAACTCACTTCCTCACAGTGACAGTTTCTGTGTTCAATTGGGTTCGCTCCTCCACTATCCAGAATGTGCTGGAGCGTGCCGAACCGGTTTCCGATAGACGAGACATCCGTCTACCGATCATTCACGCAAGAGTGGGAAAGGGATCGTTAGCCTTTAGGCGTCGGTGTAGTAGCTAGCTTATGCGAGATATTGACATTGTCGTTACGCACTTGGCGTCGACCTTTTTGTGGTGTTCGTTGCGTGCGTACGTGACTGCTTTGCAGTCTCACAACCAAAGTCTGTTTCTGCGGTGATAAAGCACCTTCCAGAGGTACGTTATATCAGTGCATATCTGATGCCTTGATTCTCCATTTCTCGCAGTAGCGTGATTCACAATCTACGTTCAGGCATTCGCTCCCCTCGTCCTGACCTCTAATTTCAATCTCACTCGCCAAGTACGCTGCTCAAGTATCTAACCGGGTATGATGGATTGTTCATAGCGATGTACGATAGGTATGACCTGCTTCCCCTTGGACGTGCACGCTAATCTAACTTCAGCGTCAACGAATTGGCTCATAACATGGACCCCATGATACTGCATCAACCAATGACTGAATCTCCTTCGATGCTCCATCGACTGTTCCCACCACATCACCTAACAAATCTCGCACTTACATTGATTTATCATCCTGGTACACCTGCCAAGTAACGATGTCCGCCATCTACTCGCCGTCAAATCACCTCTCCGTGTATCTGAGTTTGTGTTTTTGAATTCGCTCTTCGAGAATGCAGAGCACGCAGAAAGGCTTTAGATGAGACGACTCTGTTTGCGAGTTAATGCGTGGAAGAGTTGCGGGAGTGTCGTGAGGAGCTCTGAGGTGTTGACGTAGCCTGAGTGTCAAATCTGCGGGCGTATCCTCATCCTAGCGCAAGTTATCATCATAATGATACAGATGAACCAATAGACTGAGAGATGTGCATACGGTTGGAAGCACGCACATCGCAAGCTATCCAAGTCTGGGCTTCCTGCTCTGCCGTGAGGGCGCTTCCGCGTCTTCTTTTTTGCCGTGTGTCTTCTCCCCGAAGTCACGAATAACCCTTCGATCTTCGTAGTATTCAAACATTCCACATGTGTTACTACTCCGCAGCCCCACGACCAACATTCTTTGATTTAATTGAGGGCTCTTGGATTGACATCCCTTTCTTAAAAATCCTTACTTCGATCAAAGGAACAGATATCATCCTGAAGACTGACCAGGGGAGACTAAAAGTGCCCGATGGTGGCATGTCAAGATCACCATCGAAATTGAAATACGTCCCCAAAAGTTCACCGCTGCCTCATCTCCATCCTCGATTACTATGACCCTAGTCTCCGATGATCCCAGGTAGTAGCCGTTAGTCTACTGAGCAAGTCGTATCTCGAGCTACTTTGCATGTTCGTAGATAGCCAGTCTGGGGATAACAGTGATAGCTATATCTAACTTTGGCTGCAGTTTCACAGTTGCTGCAGCTAATCTATGATTAGGGTGAGCAAGTTAGTATTTTCGAGTGAACCGTATACCTTGAAGGAAGTTGACCGCCTCTAGTTAGACTTGACTCCTCAGTTATCAAAAACATGGTTACAATTTCCGCTGAGACTACTCGTCGACTCTGGATCCGACGCCTTCAAATTCTATAGTAGTCGACCCTGATTCCAACTGTGGTCGCGACATCCTTTCGTCATCTGCGAGCATGCGCAAGAAGAATGTAACAACCACACTTAAGTTTGCGACGATTAGAGATATAGACGCCTAACACGGGTATCAACGAGCCTGTCTGAGCACTGAGCGCTAAGACTGTACCTCGAACATGGCAGATACTGCCTCCTTGAGCTCTCCCACAGTCAAGACATAATATGCATGAGTGAGACTGACAGCTGTGGTGATCGCTGATGTAGAGAACAGGCAGATCACCCGGACTCTTTGTGGTGTCGTCAATGTGGCTTTGTAAATGAGAAGAAATGGAGCCAAGATAAGGACAGTGTCTCCTAAAACGTCGGCTGAAATAAGGTCAGAAAAGTAATCGTTTGTATTAAATCCTGTTAACCTACTGACAATCTGTGCTATCGCGACATTTCTGCCGAGAGGGCACTGCGGACGTGGTAGCTTTTTCCAACTAGGGTTCGATTCACAAGTCCACCACACTTGTGCAAAAAGTATAGCCCATATAACGCCAAAGATGATTGCAATGCGGATGAGTATCCTCCTCTGGGTCCCCCAGTATGCCAGTCGCACAACTGTAAACAAGATGGATAATCGGGAACACCTGTGCGCTTATGTTAGTTGTCCCCTTAACATGCTCATAGCCACTCACCAGATAACTCCATAAAAGCATTGTGTTAACCTTAACGTATGCAGTTGTAGTGTCTCTTAAGAACCACGATATACTGGAAAACGCACGTGTAATAGAGTGCTACCTTTGCCCATTGAGGGTGAAGCACTGAGTGTCTTCAGAATTGTGTGCCATCACATGCAGCAGACGCACCGTAGCCTCTCAGATACAAAGCACTGCAAACCATCAAGGCGATATCGAACATCATGGCGGCGGCTGCAAATCCGTCATCGATCCACAGAAGATGTCGCCGCGCGCGGCAATACAGGCGGAAAGACGTGACGAAGGTCGCTACAATGGGCAGGACAAAGTTTACGACTTCGAAGATGCGTCAACCGTAGCGAAACCATCGAAGTTGATGAGCCTCTCACCTTGCGTCTGAGCAATAGTTGGGCCTGGTGACATCGGCTGTGAGGGAATTTTCACCTATCTCATCTTCTCAGACACTAGATACTAGTATGCAGAAGTTACCCCTGTCTCGATCATCCTTTGTCGTGCCAATGTAGATCACATGACTTTTCGTTGACATATGCAGAAAGCTTGTTAAAAAATTGTTTTGAGACGGTGTTAAAAAAACAATAGGAAAACCGGAGTCACCGAGTTTTGGAATGCCGCTGGTTGGCCGCTGGAGACGTTTTGACGCAGTGATCGCGACTGCCGCACATAGGGGCCAGCCAAGTTGTTTGATCATTAGATGGGGTCCAAAATGTCGCTAGGCTGTGTGCTCGAGTATTAGATTTAAAGATTTTATTTGGCTATCTTAGGTACCTAAGTATTCGATGGCTCAACGAAAAAGAAAGAAACCAAAAGTAATGAGATCTGAGTGTCACTGCAGGACAAAGTGGCCGTATGTCGGAAAGTGCTAATAATTTTTTTTAGCGTCAACCTTACATAAGGTCAAATCTGCGCAAATAAAGCAACGTTTAGAATTCCGCTGCACATCGTCCTCTTAAAAGCAACTTGCCGCATCGGTCCAGAGCTCCCTGATCAAAACAAAACTGGTCGATACAGAACCGTTGAGCATGAGCGAACAAGAGTTACCTCCGCCGCGATTATTTATATCTGATAACGTGTGTGGTTTCACCTATGAAACCATTCCTTAGCTTGGTGGGATGCGGCTGCTCCGGAAGTATAAACATACCTGGTACTGGAAATACTCTAAGGATATCGGCAGTTCTTGCCTGAATACTATCCTGCTCACTGCAATCGAACTTGCCCAAGCTGAGCCTGTCTGTAGTCTGGAAATACAATATGGATTGATGAACTGGGATCTAGAGTCATACTGTTAGGGGGCATGAGGGAGCGGTGAACTTGGGAGGCGATTCCATAACAACCGAGAAACGCGACCCTAGTTTGTTGTGCCGGAGGCCTTGTGGTAACATGAAAAACCATGATCAAGCACGTATCTCTGCCCTATTTTGACTTACAACTTGATGTGTATCAAACAAGGTATCTCGCATCACTGCAACCCATTGCGATGCCTACATGTGCCACGAGCTTGGATGGACCGTCATGAAAAATCATGAGATATGGCCAGGCGCAATAACGTAGTAAGTCACAACCTACCACAACTCGAATGGTGATCGCGGCTGTGAATCAGCTCTGTAAGGTTTCACTGGATCAGCATGCGCACTAACGGTCAGATATAACCTCGCAATGAAATGAGATTCATGGGAAAACACTCCAGTCATGACAGAACGAATAGGATTTGAATCCTCGGTAACAGAGCATGTAGTACATATACATATATATGGATGTGGGTCTCCCCTTGAGTAACTGCAGGCCTCTTCTACTGTTCTTTGCCAATCATGAGCCTCAGCCGAGGCGATGCCTCCAGGACAAAACAACAGCAGTCGAACAAGGCTACAGTTACAGCAAAGGGAAGACCAAGCACAGCGAGTGCTGTTCATTCGTCTAGAGGACGGGAACGCGGACGAGAAGGCGGAAGAGCTGATATCAGGCCCGAACTTTTGAGTCCTCAAAAATTGTTCGTGGAAACCAATCAAGCGAAGAGAACCACTTATATATGAGATACAAAATGATTATATAATATTTTGCCACGGGGTGCGTTCACGTGTCGATATATGTTATCCACGGGCTGCCGAAAATTACCGAGACGTACTCAACTGACAGCGTTGCAGCTAAGGATAGACGAGCCCATCGACCAGACAAGATGTCGCGAGGTTCAAAATTGCATACCCTTGCGAGACTCAATGATATTGCACTCGGTTCTTTCTCAAATGTCCCATCGTCTGAGACATTAAATCATCTCGTGCGGTATCTTAGCACGTGGAGCGGTAGCGAGTACGTTTTAACACTTCTTTGAGTTCAGTTGTCTAATAGGCACTTCTTCCTTACTTCTCGTTCTAGCAAGTTTTTCACGGTACATACTTGGTCGCGAAACTGTCGGAATATTAGCTGATCACGTATTCAACAGCTCATACAGTATACATTTAAACTGATAGTGCCGTTCCTGCACTGGCGCGCGAGGCTTCAGCACCGTGCCGGTATCAGGAAAGATGCAAGCAGCCAAGCTGCCCCTTCTTTGGCAAGTTTTGCCAGTATTGTTAGCGATGCTAGAATGCTAGGCAGATTTTGGGGTGAGCATCATGAATACCTTCTGCTTAACGCAATGCCCTCAACGCAATTTCAGGTCTTCTACCGATCTTTCAGTGGATGATCTCCATGGAGCGCAACCCCCCGCCAACTCGTACGTTGCACACTATCGAGCGACTTCAGGGATGGTCCATGCTTGGGTTTTACCCCCTTGAACATCTTTATTACTTGCGATCCCATGATCTGATTCCCACTTCGATTCCCTCGCTTTCCTCTATACTTGGTCGCAGCTCGAAACGCATTCCATTGAATGAGAATAAATTAATCCTCTGGTCTTGTCGATTCTGGCTGCTTTATATCGTACTTCAATTCGCCCACCTAAGAGAGGACAGAAAACTTCTGTTGACGAGGCAGAGGAATCTTAGAAAGGGGAAAGGCTTTTCTGCTGAGGATAAAGAGGACCTCCGAAAGCGGTGGGACTCTCTTGGGAATGAATTGGTGGCCAATGCTACTAATTTACCCTTGGCCCTTCATTGGTTCGTCCTTTTTGTATGTATTACATGTATACTGATCGTTTGTCAGGTCTCTGGAGAGCGGCATCTTCACAAACGACGTGCGTTAATTTGAAGTACGTACTTTGTGTTACTGACACATTTTCCAGATCTGGGTCACCATTCTCAGCCTCATCAATGGGATCGCTACGTTCAGAGGTGGCTGGAGAGCAACGGCTCTTCCCTCTGTCAAAGCCGTTGAATCCCCCGAACCCTCGAACGCTGCTGATACGGTGGAGGAAAGCAAGTATTAGTGACTCAGTCATTGTTGACAGATTACTCGCTCACACCACATCAGAGGTCTGATAGAATTATTGGTGTCATATTTACCATTATTTTTAAGAGGTCTATTCTGTAATGACATAGCCGTCGATAGACGGACTAGTAATGACGTGACATTTTAATGGCCTGGTATAAGGACGGTAGTTATAGGTATGGAGCGGGTGTCTATTTCGTCTATTGTTCTTCAAGGATTCTCGGATGCGGGCGGTGTTCCTCAAAATACCAAGAATGGAATGTGTTCCATTACGCAGTGCAGGCGACTTCGAGTGCTTCTGCATTGTATTCGTTTTCCACGGAATTTAAGAAATCGACTATCTTTGCAATCAATGAATGTGAGACTCAAACGTGTCATACATTCATGTCACCTACAAATTGGTGTCGCTTTGCGCCCATCTGTTTCCCTGGCTCTGTCTTCAGTCTTTCTTGGATGTGTAGGAGTTTATCGTAGAAGTGCTGTACCGCAGTGTCGAGACGACCTGGAGGTGCATGGAGTGGGCTGGATAAATCATTCTCATCAATGCCTGTTACCCAGGGCTTTAAGATACATACCGATTTACGGCAGCGCTGTACGCAGCACACCGCATGATTCCTGGCGAAGACTTGAGAACAATGCGTTTGGATCACTGTCCTGCCAACTTACCAAACGCTCCTATCGCATCGAGTCTGTCCGCGTCTTGTACACAATGAAGTTCAACGCACACGCGATGCCACTCCTCAATTTTTCCTGTTGACCTCAGTTCCTTCTCAGTTGTCCAAGAGACGTTTTCTACGACCTTTACGACCTGACGCGCCCGGCCATCGCTAATCAGGTCCAGCCCGTGTTCCGAAGACAAAGACTGGAAGAAAGGAAGGAAATATCCATATGGGTCTGCTGCTTCGGCTTCTGTACACGTATTTCTTGTCCAGAACGTCATGAAGTAGAGCTGCTAATTCCACGACCGAGTAAATCAGGTTGCTGGGCGGAAAGAGCCCTGGCTATTGACAGGGCTGTTTTGCGTACACGCTGTACTGTTCATGTACAGTATGATGATGCATGATCTGGACCGTTGAACACGAGTTACATGTAGATATTGCGTGCAGTCACTGACCATGAAAGGCATCGTGAGATGGATCATAACGCGCCATGGTTTCATTCATGAGGTTTTCAGCAGCCTGCAGAGCACCCTGCTCTTGGGCGTTAGGGTACATCGAGACTCGGAAGATCTGTCTTGATCTGCTGTAGTTGAAGGCTAAGCTGTATGACCTTGGCCAAAAATTGGCTTTGGAAGAACTCAGAACACGAAGCATCGGCCTTCGGATTTATCCGATGCCGGCCTGGCTGCCACTCATCAACGTTGAACATTGATATTGTTACGTCGTCTTTCATAGCCATGGCCGCTCGTTTTGCATCTCGCTCGTTGGTGCTAGCTCTTTTGTTGTGCTCGGTATGCAGTGTTGTTGTCGCTCTAGAGAATGCACAGGATTCCCTAGTTGTTCGGGTGAGCATCTTGTGTGTACTTCTCCTACGCGAACAAACGTGTCTTGTGGTGTAACAACCGCCCAGGAATCAGAAATACACGAATGTCATTCTGTTGAAAAGCTCAGTGCTCTCAAAATTGCTGTGGAGGATGAGGCTTCTCCAATAATGAGACAAGTATTTGCGTGGTTGTTCCCATTTGGCCCAGGGTGGAACTCAGGCAAGGGGTTCTCAGTCTATTGGAGTCTTCCCCTGATGCTACTTTTGTCTTACCAGTGCTTGGGACATTTTACATCAGCTCGTGCGTGTGTCTATTCGTTCTTCATACGCCCAGGTCTAAAATCCGCTGACCTTTAAACAACGTTTTAGGGTACCAAATTTTATTCTTGCATTTATTCCCGCGGAGATCCATCCAGACACGCTCAATACGATGACTGCCTTTGCTGTTAGTATTCGTTATTGGCCAGACACTGTGGGGTCCAGGTTCTTGCTCACCAGCTCCACAGACTGGAGGCCTTCTTTCTGACGTTTTTCTCCACCTCGTCCCCCATGCGTTCATGGGAGAACATCAAGATCCGGGTGCTCACTTCGTAATGGTCGAAGAGAAGAGGAATATCCTCATTGGGTATGTTTGTATGCGAAACGTACCTGCATGCGCTCATTATAAACACAAGGCTAGGTATTTTTGTTGGATTTGCTACCTTTTTCGTCATGGAGAAATCGTTAAGAGTGCTTGGGGGCGACGAGGGACACGACCATTCGCATGACCATTCTCACACTCATTCTAAAGCTACTGCCATATCTGCAGATTCTGCGCAAGCATCTGGAGCATCAACCTCCTTGTCACCTGATGGTCTTCGATCACGAGGATCGGGGAAACAAAATGAAGTAGATCGCGAAGAACACATCGAACAGGCCCATGCTGCAACGGCACCTTCGAAGCTCTCGGCCTATCTCAACCTATTTGGTGACTTTGTCCACAACATGTGAACTCCTTCTTGGTTCTTGCGTGCCTTTTTCTAATGCATCGTTTTCATCTAGCACAGATGGATTAGCGTGAGTGTCGGAATGCGCACGCGCGCGTTATGATTTGATGGAGGCTCACACCTGCTGGCACCAGCATGGCCGCGTCATTCTATTCTTCTCCCCTCATTGGAGCGACTACGACGCTTGCATGCTTCGCCCACGAAATTCCGCATGAAATTGCGGACTATTCTATTCTGGTGCGTAGTGGGTTTACCAAAAAGCAAGCCATGCAATCGCAGTTCTTGACTGCTGTTGGTGCATTTGTGAGTACCTGCCAGTTTTTTCCCCTCAGATCGAGGTCATGTGTCATTCTGATACTTCATAATAGGTTGGGTTGGTATTATTGTTAGATCTATATAATGTCGATCGCTGATCAAGCGAAACAAGCACATTCATGGGAATTGCCATCCATAATTTATCAGCATCCGGCACAATTACAGAGTCATTGGACTTGGCCGCAGGGGTGCGGCAAGACGCTCCCGGGATCCTGGGTACCACTGTTCAACCAGCAGATCTGGTGATTGTAATCAGTCTCTAATCAATTTTTTTTGTTCACGGGACGGTTGGTGGCACAGGTAATCCCCTTTGTGGCCGGCGGATTTATGTACATTGGCGCCGTCGCGGTGTTGCCTACGTGAGCAACATATTATGATGCTGCCACCCATGACTTATTGCACCACATTGTTAGTCTCCTAGCGGAGAGCAAAAGCGGCGCACAAGCTCTGCGGGAGGTATGGTCATTTTTCCGAATTTTGGATAGCTTCTGACTACGCGGCAGTTCGGTGCGATGGCCTTTGGAGTGCTTTGCATGTTCTTCGTAGCGTAAGTCCGCTGATGGGATACTGTGTGACTCTGAATGACTTGGTTCTTAGATGGAACGAATGAATGTGCTCGCACGTTTATTAATCCCTCAAAGCTTTACTTCTCACTCGTACGTTAGTACCATCGCAGATGGAGATTCGGAGGCTGAATCCCGGCCACAGGACTCATCCGCACGTAAATATTATATATCACGAAGGTACCGCGCACAGATTGTTCCAAGGAACCGTGACGATCAAGTGGAGATGCTACTACAGTGTAGACAGTTATGCCATAAATACCTTATATATACCATTCTTCTGATACACGATGGCGGAGTCAACAAGAATCTCGGAAGGTTCATTTTGGGATCATTTGCCTGAACGAAGGTGTGGAATCGACAAATGAGGGGCATCCAGGGGTGTAAGCTACGGCAATAGCGCAGCATGCCGTGTGGATGCCGGCGAACGTGCGTGAATTGGTGGTACTTCCGCTTTGGTACATTTTTGGAAAGTCGAGCTTCGTAATTTCATTCAATCTCGACCAGTTCCACTCAAAAACTTGAACTCAGTTCCTTTTTTTTTTGAACAGTACTACTAGACTGCCTCTCATCGTTATATTTCTCCACCAGCCTCTCATCCGTTTAAATTCGCATCTGCTTTGCACAAGTTTTTAAAGTTCCAGGACCTCCTAGCACAGTCCAGGTACAGTTATGCTTGCTAATTCTTGACGCTCGCCATTGATAATAACTCTCATAGTCGACCGTCTCGTGACATCGCGTCAGAATATTATTCCGGCCAGAACCTTCACGTTTATACGTGGACGTGAACCGGAACTGTGTTGACAGTCAACATTCACACACCTCGCTGCTCCGCAACGTGATTCTCTGTTGAAAGCTGTTCGCCCGTGGAGCCAAACAAGCCAGTTTAACATTTGGATATCGCTACCCGGTGCTTTAAAGCAGACCGTCAAGTTATTTCTACTCTACTATTTCTACTCTCCTCTCCTCTCTCCTCTTCACCTGCGTCATGGGCACCAAAGGCCGTGAAGTTCCTCGTGTCGTGTGCTGTGCCATTCCATTGGCTAGTACATCTGGAAAGGTCCTCGTTATAACTAGTCGCAAACGACAAGATTTATGGGTTTGTAAGTCATGTCATTTTCATGGGTTTTTGTTTCTTGTTCTACGTGGGTAACGTGTCTCGTGACGCACTGACGCGTCTTTAGCATTGCGCCCATTTTTCTTCTTGTCGTTAGAATCTTCTGCTCATTCGCTGCGTTTCTACCCCCCTAGTACCTAAAGGAGGTTGGGAGTTGTCGGATGTTACTTTAGAGAGGGCAGCCTCGCGGGAAGCCTTAGAAGAAGGTCTCAACCTTTGTCCCTCTTCCGTCTGTTCATCTCCTGATGATCATCCCATGCTGTTTTTTTCCAAAAATATTACCGCTTCAAAAATTCAGCGGGCGTTCGAGGCAATATAACTCGATATGTGACGACCATCAACTCGCCCTCAACAACGTATCACTTCTACGAACTTGAAGTCACGACTCTCGACAAGGATTGGTTAGAAAGCCGGGAGCGGAAAAGAGAGTGGGTGGATTATGCCGAGGCGATGAAACGGGTCGCATGGAAGACCGAACTTGCGCAAGGACTTATGCTTTCTACGTTGGCGCCACGGCGGTAGTCGAGGTTGTCCTGCTGTGCAAACCAGTGCTACTTCCAACAGGTAGCTACCGCCAATGCGGTTCATCAAGCTCAACCACGACAATGGATCTGGCTTGTCGCACACAGATCGCTAATGGTTGCAAATTACCATGCTTAGATCGTTGCCGTCATCTATACTCTACTCATCCACTTTAAAGATACCACTTATCCCAGCAGTGCTCTTGTTTTCACACTTTCCGCATCACACACACTCCACTCCATCTCGTCATTCTACGTGCATATCTTGCTATCACATGTACCCCTTATGCAGCCTCGTTGCAGCGTCATCTTCGGCATGCGCATCATTCGTCGTGGTAGACTTCATGTTCGCGGACTTTCGCCTAGTATTTTATCCACGCTATAGATGTAGTTACATGGTTTAACTTTCATCAAATATCGGGGTTCACTTGTGCGTATGTTTGATCTCTGCGTTTCGTCTTCGGTGCGAAAAAAATATTACTCGGGCGGTGCGTTGCCTTTTTGTTATGCGGGACGGATCTCCGTATAATTAAATTTCCACTTACATGCTTCCACTAGCAGGTGTCTTAGGGTGTCTTGGATACCGTGGTTTCTCTTCTTTTGGCTGTGCCAAGGAGCTTCGTATCTTCGTATCTTACCCTTCGCGGTGGGACTCTCAAGGCGCATTGTGCAAGATGAGAAAACCTCCTTCAATATTCAACGTCGAGCCCTGGGACACATGGTTCACATCAAACAATGCACAAGCCATATGGCAATATAGCCTCACGTGCACAGGACGTCATGTTGGCCAACATGTTGGCTCCACCTCCTCTGGTCAGCTCTATATCCATTCATATATCTCCTGGATGGGTTCCTCGAGATGATCGGACGGATCACATTGTTGACCACTGCCGTGAGTGATACCTCCTAAATGATTTAATGTTAATGCGGATCTTCTTTTTCAAACAAGGATGAAGTCAGCGCTATCCGTGGGCTATGTTGTCTGTCAAGTGCTGCAATGTTGGTGGCGGGCACTTAGTCGCACACATATACGACAGGACCAATCTTTGCAGAGGAGCAAGGTCGTGGATCACGTTCTATTTCAGGGTCGCTAAGTTGAAGCCTGGCCAAACCTACGCCAATCTCACTGCTCAGGAATCGATGGAGATGGTGCTTTTTAGTCAGGTCCATCTACTTATGAGCTACTACCAAAGGGTCGTCGATCAAACCCGCCACTGTGACATATTTTATCTCCCCTTTGCCACTATGTTATCGTGGTGTGGCAGCTGGGCTGCGCAATTTAGATTTACATTCACGCCAATGTAAACCTTGCTTTATCAGTCTCCACAAAAACTCACGCAACTGTCACAGCTGTCTTTCAAATGGGGCAATACTTTCGTCCATCGCGAAGCGCGCAAGGCGCCTCTTGCCATGAGTTCCGCGGACAAGTCGTTGGCAGCCATCATGGCTTCGTACTTTCATGGCACGTCGGTAGTGCGGATGTGTGGGTACGTTCACGTTGGTCATCACATTGCCATTTCGGTCGACAAATATAACCATCAATTTTATTATTAATTGATGGTCCATCATGAACTGGCCGTACAAGGTAGAGATCAAAATTCTTGAACACAACGCCCTCCTGGTCGGTCATGTTCTATGGGCGGCCATCTTTCGTCCTCTTCTTTGACTATCAAGACAGCTATCGGCTGCGGCGCAGTGGCTAGAAGCCTTTATGTCAGCATGTTCGATTAGATCCTGACCTACTGACCGATTCCTTGCCTCGAGGTGTGACGATAAATAATTTTTTCCCTTTGCAAATGGTCCAAACGGCAAGTGGCGAGGGTTCCATATAGCGTCCGTATCATGTGCGCACGTTTCCTCTGCAGCCGCTGGCGACTCCATTTAGCCAGCCAGCCAACCACAAACCAGGAATATGAGATTAGTACTACGCGTGCTTTGACCATGAATTTTGATGTTCGTTTACGACGTACAACGAAACTCAAAGTTGGTGGCCAAGAGCCATCCAGCCTGCTGCAATTGCTTCGAGGAACTAGGAGGTCATCATGGTGATATTACGAGGGTAGAAGTCTTTTGTAAAATGACTGGGTGTTTTAATTCCTGTGCACTGGAATAAGATGAACACTCTGTGGACGTCTCTTGTCCGTTTGGGCGTAAGCCCAGGCCTGGTGGCTTACGTACACCTACACATATGGCTCGTTACATCGTAGACACCTCTTTCCCTTGGCTTGTACCTCACCATCGTTGTCGTTCTGCAATCCAGAACATGGTTCTGCTTCGTTTCGTGTGCCTCATTAGTGTTTCTTGTCGTTGGCTACGACCTGTTTCTAGGTAGGCCCCCAGAAGCTCTAGCGAATGTACTCCCGCGAAACAGCATTTTTGAGGTCCAAATATGACAACATCTCCGCCCGGAAATTGCATTTTTGAGACATTTGACATGGCAATCCGGCTATTGTATTTTTTTATGTCCTTCAGGGCAGGTCCTATAATAGGACCCTTGTCAAGTGAACCTTATTCCGACCAGCCCCGCCAAACGTCTCGTAAAACATAGTCTCCCCTAGCTGCAGACCATATGAAAGGAATCCTTCTTGATTATCCATAAAAGAACAGCTACTCGTCACCGTGCTTCTCAGTGTTGAAGGACTTTGCATTGCCAGCAAAAATTATGCATACATTGCAATTTACATCCCCTGTCTCATTTGTTGTTATCCGTGAATGTATCACTGTTTCTGACAGCAACGCGATCGACTCCAATGACTCAAATTCGCACCAACCTTGCACTGTTCTCGCGACATTCGAACTCCACTCACACAACAGCTCATTTACTCCCTCAATGGCAATCTATTCGCGCAGCAGCTTATCTTGACCGCTGAAGCGGGTACTCACTCTCGGCTGTCTGTCAAACAAAATTGTCGCCTACTACCAAGATTCCAGCGAGGGGGCCACAAGAAAAGAAGAAAATATTAGTGGTTGATCTAATTCAGTAAATTTATTACATCTGATTGAGATGCCTATATATATGTGCCTCTGTCGCCGCCGTCAACCGTGTCACACCACGTGATTTTTGACCTCTGCATTTTTGAGGCCTGGTACCTCGGGCAGGCGTACCTTGGCAGGAACTTCTAGTGGCCTTTGTGCGTCCCTCAGTTGCGGACTCGGAACATCGGACGCCATCATGACGGGGCCTCGTATAACTGGTCACTTGTTCTATTTCAGAACTTTACGCTCTTCAACCGCACAATCATTTATAGGCGAATCTATCTACGTCTATTACCAATGAATTACATTAAGTCTTGTGTTTCAGGCTCATTCTGGGCTATCAAAGTCCCAAGCTGCAGACAAGGTGCACCACCTACCAGCGCCCCAGTCAACTACGTCGTCCGAAGAATCGCATGTCCAAGCAGACTCCTTCGCCCATGCATTATCGTCTTTACTAATGTCCCACAAAAGGTCAACGCCAGAGTCTGAAGAGTACAGACCACTTCCCCAATCAAAACCTGGATCATCATCAGAACGATATCCTTCCGACTGCAGGACTTCTTCAAACAAATCATCTGGCAGTTGTTCCGGAGCCCACTCCGATGTCTTCTTCTTCTTCCCAGGCCTGCCTCCAACTAGCAGCACCGGCCAATCTCCCCTTCTCTGCCCCTTGCTTCTTTGAAGATCAAACTTTGGACTTCCCTCGATAACCTCGATCAGAACTTCGAACCACCCACCGCATATCGCTCCGATTTCCTCTACAAACCAGATTTCTTCCAATCGCAGCTCAGCCGCTTCCCATTCATCAAACTTATCTGATACAGCCTTCGCAATCTCCTCAGCCGACCCTCGTTTTCCTGCACGAACGTGCGCGTCGTAGTGGTGTGTTTCCAGTAGACGATGCACCTTTTGGCTCTTCGGACTTTCTTTCATCGAGGTACTCTTCTCCTCGCGTATCGTAGCCCAAGCCTCGCCTTCGAGACGCTTGAAGATAGCAACCTGGCTCGCACCCCCTAGTTCTTCATCTCGGCCCCACTCATCTTTCTCCTGTGCACGGCCAATAGTCGTCGTATCCACATCGTATCCCCATTCCTGTGCAGTCCCCTCGCACCACTCCTGGAATTCCTCAATCGTCCACTCAAATTTGTGGTCATGGTGCCTGAACACCCTGTCCGTGCGTTTCGTAGGATCGGGGAAGCCAGTAGCAGTATTTATCAAGCCAGGAGGGCTGAAACGTGCGTTGAAGCCGTATGATGGAGTCGTCACGAGAAGTAAGCGAGGGTGGTACACGCCCAATATCATAGGCGCGAAATCAGCGAGAATTTCTTCTGGGAGGTGTTCGACGCTTGAGATGAAGTATTAGGAAAAATCGGTGATATGCTGTCTGAGCATAGAATAGACGTACACTTCTGTTGCGACGATACATTCTGCATTGATAAATGCTGGATTAAAGATCTCTAGCCCGCCGTGCCAGATGTTTACTTGGAGTGATTCCCATCGCGTGTATGACGTGTTTGCGGCAGCGGGAGAGGTGTCTTCGATTGCGGATGCAAGCGCGTGAGATGAGATGTCGAGGCCGGTGACGCGCGTTGGGTGGAGATCAAAATCACCCGCTTCGAGTGCGGTTGGACTCGCACCGCTATGAGCTGCCAATATGCCAGGGCCAGGAGGCGGAAGACTTGGTGCGGGCTGGCAGAGAACAGCGAGTAGTTGACCCTCCCCGCACCCGATATCTACGATCTGTGCAAGAGATAAGACTGATTGCTCGATGGTTCGACATTGACGCAGACGACTGACCTCGGTGACCTGCTCGCGGCGAAGGATGTCTAGCACCCATATTCTTCTCTGAAGATAAAGTGGAGGGAAAAAGGTCACTCTTAGCTCTGCTTCCCCGCCCATCGGTGACGGCTGCCGTCTAGTCTTGGAAATCAAGCTGGACTGGAAGGATTATCGCTATCTGATTGGCATGGGAAGTCATGGGTAAGCCAATCAATTATCAGACTTAAAACAGACAGTACAAAGCCCTTATATAGACACCATCCCGGGGATCACGCTGGATGCTGAAGCAGTTGAGATCATTGGTATGATGGTAATTGTGTCATGGACTACTTTGAAACCATGATTTCTTGTGATGTTGAGCAAGGTTTGAGATTATTGTGTTGGCTCGAAAGTTTGAAACAGGAAACCTGATCATCATGCATCATGTACCAGTCGAGGCTATGTACATAGTCGTTTCAGGCTTTGGCAGCTGGCTTCGAGCGGAGTTTAAACGTTGTTCAATGGTGATCCCAAAATATGTGCATGCGCTCGTCATGGTCGTGATCCAGGCGGTGTGGACAAGATATTATGGTACTCTTGTGAACTCGGTAGTACCGGTAAGTATCGGTACTTCTGTGCTGGCGTTCGATCATTTCGCAGCGGGATATTTTCAGCGACTGTTGTGATGAAAACGAATACTTCCTCTTTATCGAGGCCGTAGTTTCTACTAGTATCGGCTTTTGATATGACCGAAGTCTTGGTGGTGGTAACTAAATGTACGCCATGGGAATGAGTATATGCTGAGTTGCCGAAATCAAAATGTTCATCTTTTGCAGTGTTTTAACGCTTCAAACCACATCATGTGAGTCCGTGTAGTCTATCATCCTCTCGAGAACTCTCGGCTTGACCTGATCAATCAAAGCAGGAACTCAGTAAATGCCTTTGCCGATGTCGAGTTATTTCTGCCATACCAGTGACAAGCGCGGGGTGGTCATATATCTAGCCCGAACTCACTCGTCGTACTACGTTCACCAAGTTTACCCCCTCCATCATTTAACGGTACTACTATGACCCTAGTCTCAGACGACCCTAGCTGGTTGCCGTCAATCAATTTATATCATTTTGCCAGTTATTTTACAGGTTCGTGGAGAGCAATCAGAGATTGTCGCTGCCGCTGACGTCTCGATCTAACCTTGAATATGGTTTTGCAGTTGTCACCGTTGTTGTAGTGACGTATGATTGGGGTGAGCCTGATAATATTAAAGAACTGCTGATTTCTTACAACCATATACAGCACTTACATTTGGACAAGAGGTATGTTGGTGCTATGACTGGAGCAGCCATCTCGCTAAGATGATTTTAGATCGAACTGATCTGGGTGAGCAAAGCCCGATATCAGAGGAACAAAATTGATTTGCGACAGAGGCAACGTTGGTCACTTATGACCAGTTCTGTATCTGAGTGTATGTAGCTTACATTATTGGTGTGGTTAATAGCTCATGCTGACTCTTGAAAATATCCTAGGTGCGCTATCTTGGAATGTTGTATGCTATGTATGTTTGGAACGCTCAGCACTGTTGTTGTACTGATGAACCATATTTCACAATCAGCGTGAACATATTGCGTATGTCTTCTCGCATTCATGATCTTTGCTTCTTCTGACCTGTGACATACAGTCTGTGTTCCGACAATCTTGTTAACAGATAGAGTGAGTCTTCTGCACAGATGCTAGCTATTCCCCTCCAATTAACCGTGGTGCCTTGTAGGAGTGAGTATGATTCTTTACTAACTTTCTGGTTCGCTAATGTCTGCAACGCTATACTGCCACAGATGTAAGTCTGTTTGGAATGTGTACTACCCGAGGATTGTCACTAAATGGACTCGTCAGGCTGGATTGGGTACATTATATGGGGTTGGACATATGTTGGGGTGACTGCAATGCTGGGGGGTGAGCTTTGCAGTTGCAAGACCTCAGTGATTTTGAGTTGACTGAAACATCTCGCAAGTCATCATGATCGCTCGTTTACATGCCATGTATCAACGATCCAGAAAGATCCTGATATTTCTCGTCGTCACCTTCCTTGTTGCCAACATTTTCAATGTGGTGATCGCTGTGATGGCAATGATGCATACTCCAGGGGGTGCGCTTGATTGTGGATCAAAAAATTGCATGGGGCTCATTGATGTACACCAGAGGAATTCATCCTCTCAGGCACCTATCAGTGCCGGATTTTCTTGGCGGGAGATACTCCGCTTCTGAATTCCGTTACTTGGATAATCGGCACTGTGTGGGAGGTCTTCGTACTGTGTCTCGCAGTCTGGGTTGCTGTAAAACACTTCCGTGAACTGCGACAACATTCGGCAGGAGGGATTATCGAGTGTTGTTTCATGGTGTTGATGAAAACTCACATGTTTTACTTTGCGAGGTGAGCTCATATTGTGAATCTGTTTCTCCTTATCCGCTGAAGGATCGAACATGCTAGCTTTCTTGTTGTTTCTTGTTGCAACCTCATTAATTTCTTGTTACCAACAAACTTATCTGTATGCCAGTTTTTCACTGATCTGTATACGACCACAGTTCATTGTTTTCTATAGGCCCAATCTTCCCCGGGTGCCCATATGTATGTGGTGCTTAGTCAAATTTTGCCGGTCGTGCAGATGTTTGTGTTGGGGCCACACCTGATCCTTGGCATTCGAGAATATCACGCTAAGCTCGTGGCCGACTCCGACGCAGCAATGGGCATGAGCTTAATCGCTTTCCAGGAGCGCGTGAATATATCGACTGGGAATGGTGTGTAGCACGGGAGATGCTCGATGAAGTTGACGGTTGTCTGGTACTCTGGAGGGAGCAGGAGAATTTTATTTTCGCTTGATTCTAAATTTCGTTTGTGGTACTTATTTAATTATCTGATGCGTACAGCACGTGTAAGCTAATTTATGTAGTTGGCATCATTCCAACGGCGTGAGTCAGGAATATTCATCGTGTCGAATATATTTCCATGCGCATGTGTAAAGTTGCACGTTGTACTACATATTTGACGATAGCTGCCATCTTCGAGGCCCTGATATCGCATCTTTTCTTACCTCCATTTGAATGCAAGCATGGCATTGGTCCATCATGCAGAGATTAACATATTCAACATCATGAATATTCCCGACTCACGCCGTTGATGCCAAATAGCTTACATGCGCCGCATGTACCATATAAATAATAAATACCACAACCGAAACTTAGAATCAAGCGAAAACAAAATTCTCCTGCTCCCTCTGGAGCACCCGACAACCGTCAACTCCATCGAGCATCTCCCGTGCTACACACCATTCCCAGTCGATATATGCACGCGCTCCTGGAAAGCGATTGAAGTCATGCCCGTTGCTGCATCAGAGTCGGCCATGAGCTTAGCATGATATTCTCGAACTCCAAGGATCAGGCGTGGTCCCAACACGAACATCTGCACGACCTCTAAAATTTGAACAATCCAAGTCGGGACAAATATGTTCTATAGAAATGATGAACCGTGATTGCATACAGGGGTCAGTGAAAAATTGGCATACCGCTGAGATCGTCGGATTGAAATCATCTATGAGGCTGAGACAAGAAACAGCAACAAAGCTAGCATGTCCAATCCTTTAGCGGAAAAAGAGGTCCATATTCACAATATGAGCTCACCTCGAAAAGTAAAACATGTGAGTATTCATCAACACCTTGAAACAGTCCCCGACAATTCCTCCTGCCGAATGTTGTCGCAGTTCACGGAAGTGTTTTACAGCAATCCAGCCTGCGAGACACAGTGCAAAGACCTCCCACACAGTGCCGACTATCCAAGTAATGGCATCTAGAAATGGGGTATCTCCCGCAAAGGCAATCAAGCACTGATAGGTGCCGAAGAGAATCAGTTCCTCTGGTATACATCAATGAGCTCCATGCATATTTTTTGTCGTCCACAATCAAGCGTACCTCCTGAAGCATGCATCGTCATCATCACGGCGATCACCACACCGAAAATGTTGGCAACCAGGAAGGTCACGACGAGATATATCAGGATCTTTCTGGATCGTTGATACATGGCGTGTAACCGAGCGATTATGATGACTTGCGAGATGTTTCAGTCAACTCAATATCACTGAGGTCTTGCAACTGCAAAGCTCACCCCCCAGCATTGCAGTCACCCCAACATATGTCCAATCCCATATGATGTACCCAATCAAGCCTGACGAGTCCAGTCAGTAACAAGCCTTGGGTAGCATACTCCAAACAGACTCACATCTGTGGTAGTATAGCGTGACAGACATTAGTGAAGCAGAAAGTTAGTAAAGAAACATGCTCATTGCTCACTCCTACAGGGCACCACGGTTAATTGGAGAGGAATAGTTGACCTCTGTGCAGAAGACTCACTGTATCTGTCAACAAGATTGTCGGAACACTGACTGTATGTCACAGGTCGGAAGAGACAAAGATCGTGAATGCGAGAAGACATACTCAGTATGTTCAAGCTGATTATGAAATATGGTTCATCAGCACAACAACAGTGCTGAGCGTTCCAAACATACATAGCATACAACATTCCAAGATAGCGCACCTAGGATATTTTCAAGAGTCAGTATGAGTCGCCAACCACGCTAGTATAATGCAAGCTACATACACTCAAATACAGAACGGTCATAAGTGACCAATGTTGCCTCTGTCGCAAATCAATTTTATTACTCTGATGTAAGGTTCTGCTCACCCAGATCAGTTCGACCTAAAATCATTCTTAGCAAGATGGCTGCTCCGGTAATACATCAACGTACCTCCTGTCCAAATGTAAGTGCTGTATATAGCTGTAAGAAATCAGCAGTTCTTTAATATTATCAGGCACACCCCAATCATACGTCACTACAACGACGGCGACAACTGTGAAACAATATTCAAGTTTAGATCGAGCCATCAGCGGCAGCGACAGTCTCCGACTGCTCTCCACGAACCTATAATATAACTGGCAGCACGATATGAATTGATTACCGGCCACCAACCAGGGTCGTCTGAGACTAGGGTCATACTGGTACTGTTAGAGGATGTATGAGTGTCAGAGGATCGGTGTAAGGGAGCGGGGAACTTGGTGGACGTACAACGAGGGAGTTGGTGCTAGATATACAACCATCCAGCGCTTGTGAGGCTGAAATGAGCATAATCACACGCACTATACCTGTTCCTGTCTTGATTGACCTAGTATCGAGCAATTAACAAGGAGAAATGGCCATATAGTTCGAAATATTGAAACACGAACTTCCTGATTTCGGCTGCTGGGTGATTCCCGGTGTGCGTTTGGTTGCGACCGGGGCTTTGATCACATAAAATAAAGCCACTCCTTACTGCGTTCACCACAGGTGAAAACATAGCCTAGATAAAGAGCGAGCATTCGTTTCCATCATAACAGATCCAGCGGCGGGATGGTGGGACACTGTTACGCAAAACACGTAATACTGAGTCCACAGGAGTACCATCATGCGAAGAAACATCTTGGGAATAGCGGAAGTGGGAAGGATTGCAGCAAGTCAGTGGGTTCGGGGCATCACTGAAACAGCTGATGTGATGGGCTCCTGCCATATCGGCCATGACGATAATATTATTTATGTACTTCAAATGAACTTGACTGAAAGCCTGACTACAACCGCGAGCCTCACAGCCGAGAAACAATGTATACCTGTGGCATGCTGATATTGCAGTTAAATGAATTATATCCGTGCGAAGGAAAAGATGGGTCGTACATACCTCCCTTGTATTACTATGAGCGGCGCAAGACGCCTGGCCAAATACTTGAATTTTGAGCAGCAACAGCGCGTTTAATAATTGTGTGGTCCCCTAGCAGAGAGGAGGAGAACATTGGCAGAATGAATGTCTGAGGAACGCACGAGGAATTGACTCGATCCCATCTGATACCGACTCAAATATTGGCTACTTCAAAGTTCACGTACCTGTGGCTCATCTCGAATCTCAACGAGGGCGATCTTGATGGGTTTTCTGCTTGCGGGTGATGCATCAACATCAGAGAATTCACGAGTCTACCTAGGGTGCTTTACGTTGATTGCGGTGGTTTTCCGACGTTATACATGGCTTTATATAACTTTATATTCCAATATACAGAAAAACTTTCCTATATATGAACATATATCAGCATATCTTCGGTTCACGAGTCCTCTGATGGAAGGGCCAGAAGATGATGTGGTTGCGACTCAGTTGGCGGCTATACACCAACAAAGCGCAACCACGTCACATGTAGCTGCTGTGATGTTGTTAATCACTAAAACGCCCGCGACGAGGAGCAAATGAGCAGCTCGGCTTAATCAGGACTTAGCAGATGGTCTGAATGATGTCGGATTCTACATACCCCATGATTATTCTCTTAGATCATGAATTATCCTCGAGGTGATTGCAGTGTGCTGCAAGTCGAGAGTACCATGACATTGGCTCACTTGTACGTGAAGGCTCGAAGCTTCGAGAGCAAGAGTGGCGGTTGAGAAATAGGGGTATGATGATATCTGATCGGAGACGGCCCAGGCCGGGGCTATAAGATGTGATATGATGGAGGATGACAGGGAACAGGAAGGGTGATAGAGAAGCACAGGCGAGTCAAAGCATGGCAGGCGAGAACCACGGTACTAAGTGGCCGTTGTACACTCATGGGATGGAAGTGAATGGAAACATGATAGAGACCGGTAGAGATGATGGCGAGTTGAGGAAGGGTGATACTGTTCTCGAGTTACCGGAGATGATGAGCTATTAGCATCCACAGATGAGACCGGGCTGGAACACGCATGAGACGGAGGACCGCCTGTACATGTGTGGCTTCGATGTTAAATATAATATTTAAATGTCATAGCATCAGTCTAGAGCGGCTAAAAATTTGCACCTTTATCCAACATTGGTAGGTTTCACACATTGGCTGGCCGCTTCTGCAACAGATTGGCCTGGTCCTCACGTGGTCTGATGAGTCATGAACTCGCAATGCAGGCAAGTACTGTTTGCGTATCCAGGTTCTTCAGGTTTTCTTCGACGACTAGGCGAAAAACTTGAGTCGCAACGTGTAGGGCACCAAATATTGAAGTCGCTTCTTCCATGATTCATTTTCAACCTGCCCTGGCATTCGGTCACTTGCTTTTGACATAATAGCTGGCCGCCCTGCATCATGCACCACACGCTTTTCCAGCCTCAGCGGCAAAGGAAGAAACCTCCGTTCGGAGCGTGGCCCAGCGCCTGGGCGCTGTGTGACGCCTTCTATCGCGTACGGTCTTATCATATCAACAAATTGTCTGCTTGAGAGTGCTTAAGTCACACTTAGTATGAAGAAATCTAAAAATACATGCATGAACTAATTTAAACTATGTCATGATAGAGACAGGAGCGGGAGCTCAGGGGAGCTCACATGAGTGGGCAGGAGGTATCGGGGCACAAGACAGTTGAGACATGGGTGCACAAGAGTGCAGATCGCCACAAGGTATGGGAGGCCTCATGTAAAACTGTCTGACAGCACGCGAGAGGAGGTGCTCGATGGTCTCATTAGTTATGAGAAGGACAAAAACAAGCTTCAATGCAAGTGAGAGGACGGTAGGTGTAGGCGAGTGGTAGCATGCAATAACAGAGACAAGCTAAGTTAGCGGGAAGTGTCGGAAAGCAAATGTGCAGAAGGCTATCCACCGAAATACTAGTGCAACGAAACAGCGGAAGAAACGAAAATACGGTGAAATGCGCTGGGAGGAGCAGGTGGTGGACGGGAGGGAGGAGCGACCGGGCCGGGTGATGACACATCAATATTACAACTCCGAACGCAGTCGCCGAAGCTCTTGAGTCTTGACAGCGGGGACCTAGTCGGTGGATAATAGACAAATGAAGTCTATAGGCGTGGCGCAAGCCGGAACTCGAGTATGCAAGCGCCGGGTACCCACTGGACAGCCTGGTATATACCGGCAAATTGGAAATGACCGTCCGACCTTAATTTGGCTATCCGGCACGCCTCCGAGTCGGAATTTATTTTTCAGGATTTGGTGGGCGTCACTGGGCACTGCGGCAGCACAACCTCACGAGTGAGGCCTGTTGTCAATGAGGCAAACGTGAACATGATTTCTAGCATTAGGTCAATGATACCTGAGACGATCATGCCAACATGATGATGGTCGTCGGACATGGGGGCACTGGACAGACTTCAGAGAGAACGGACAGAGCAGAGGGACAGACAAACCGGATGGAACTTTCGAACTTCTAGGTTGCTTCGTATATCGAGACTCCTGAGTCCTGACCGAGCCCATGGCCGAACCCGAAGAGCCTAAGCAAGGTTCTTATCTAATGATGGGTCGATCCTTATCCCTCCTACCAAGGTCCCGAGGCAGCCGCCGCAGGACACTAGATCCGAGATGATAATATCCGGTCTCAAGCTACTTCCAGGAACGTAACACTACCGGTTTCCCAGCCAAGACTCCTGCTCATTGTTTTCGGCGATGAGCTCTACTATCTTGCATATTCCGGGTAATGTGAGTAAGGCATCGCTTGCGCCAAGCCCGGGGGTAGCCGAGTCGGTAAATCACTTGGTAAGCACATTTTTTATCAAACGCGCATCAACAAGAAAACGGAACACGGATGACTTCAAAGGATCGCTCCCGCGGTGGCGACGGAACCCATGATACGTTGGATAGGAAAGTTCAAGCTAAAAAATTGCCAGTAAGAGCGTCCTGGTGGATCCTGCTGATCTGGGCCAGCATGGGCTTTCTAGCAGTACTCGCTGGATAAAAGTAATACATGATAAATGGTTCACGCGATGAACGGGGCCAGGACACGCAAATCCATGTCTCATTTCATGACAACTACGGCCGGGCGTCAAGGTTGCAAAATGATTGAAGCGCCAGTGAGATGGTGATATGAATTCTGATTACGAGTATGCCAAATCATTCCCGGGCCGGGCCAGACTCGGACTAGCACTGTCCTGACATCGCGCCCTCGTATCCCCTTCCTTGTACCTTTGTCTCAGATTAATACATTATCCTCTAAAGTACGAGCAAATCGTAGTCTTTACACATCGTTTCTTCGTTCATCGATTGAACGTTGACTAACAGTAGCCGTTGCACCTCTGTTGCAACGTTGACTCGGAAGTTCCACTGTCTTCCGAACGTCACCGAAACTAACCGATATATATAACAAGGTTGGATTAAAGAACTGCATCTAGCTACATCATCTTCATAACAAATCGTGCGCGTGATTCATAAGAGGGCGTCAGGGATCCATTTACCGGTACAGTACACATAGTTTTTTTGTCGCGGAACCAAGAAAGGCACGATCCCATGGGGAAACACAGCCACCTGTCTCATGAATCCCGAAGCAGCCGCAACAGCAATTTCAGCCTTGACCGTATCGTTAACTTCAACTCTCATCATCCATCCTACACGTACTAGCAAATTCGCTAGAGTACAAAAGTGCTCCTGAAGCGCTCTTGTTCAACAACCGGAGTCCCATGTCGCTTTTAACACCTACTGAGGCTCATGCCTTTCAGAAATTCCTTTCATCACTTGACACTACCGACTTTTCAGCGGGATGGAACATGCAACTAGAAGTCTCGCATGAACATATGCCTCCAGCACACGGGAAAGAGGCGTTGGCTCAAGCAACCAAGGACCTCATGTCGTTGGATACGGACAAATGGCGGTATCCACTCGCTCGCTCTCCTTCATCTCGTGAGTCCCCGTCGGAACCGCCGGTCAACCGGTACTCTCAGTCGCAGTCAAACTCCCTGTCATTCCTCTACTCTACCCGTCGAGAGCGACGCGTAGAGGGTAATGACGCCTCTACAGGGCATTCCCAGCCACCCTCCCGCAGTCGCACACACCTACTACCTCTCCAACGAACCGTGGATCCGTCATCAGTCTCCACCAGAACTAGAGCAAGAACGTTCGCGTTCGAGAATATATCATCTTCGTCATCAAGCCAGTCTCCTATTGATCCATCTTCCTCACTTTCATCCTTCTCTACGCACCATACCAGTCCTGCACCGCTCTCATCGAATAAACGATCCACACCACCGGACCATAATGTCTCGAATAAACGGAGGCGACAGTCGTCAGTCACATCGCAATCATTCGTGAGTGACGCCGGTAGATCGTCAACGCTTCTATCACCCTCTCAGAAAAAAGCAAATCATATACAATCGGAGCAGAAGCGAAGAGCTAATATAAGAAAGGGTTACGAGGCTTTATGCGACATCGTTCCATCTTTACGAGAAGCCATGTTGGCTGAGGCAATGGAAGAAGAAGAGGCGATCGCGAATGGGAAGAAAGCTGGCAGACGACGGTGTAAGGGGAAGGCAGCAAATGACGACGGTGAGAAGGTCGATGGCAGAGCTGGTCCAAAAAGCGAACATGTCGTGCTATCAAAGAGTCAGTGCTTAGACTATATCTCTGCTTCTGATTCATATTTATTTTAATCTTGCGTTACAGCTATCGATTACGTTACGGAACTTTTGGCGGAGCATGATGTCTTCAAGCAGCGCCTAATGGTGGCGAGAAGCGCCCTCCCCCTTGATCATCCATTATTACAGCGTCACCCCGACGCTCCACCTCCGCTATGGGAACGGAAATGGACTGGTGGTGAAGCAAAGGATGCTGACGAGGAGGAGGACGATGAAGAATCGTAGCTCAAAATAAAATGTCACTGAACGCCTCATAGTATTTATGGGTTCAAGTTCGTCGTCTTGCAAGGGTCTAGAGTTGGACACGTATTATATCAGACTCGCTTCATTATGTATAATATGTCGCTTTTAATTCGCTTTCTGCAAGTGTCTGCACGACCTTGCAGAAGTTGGGCAAATATTTGTCTTGATTAGGTGCTGTACCTGACTGAGCTTCTAAGTTATCGACCCCGACTGCCAGGCGCGGTTCCAAATCACAGCACCTTGAACGACTTCTGGATTTCCATCCAAAGAAATGGCTGAAGCACAAAGCGGCCCTTCTAATGGTCGCAAACGCAAGTATCGATCAGTGAGTATAATTAACAAACCTCCTGGATCTCCATCACGATACCAATAGACTTTCGGCAGGACGGGGTATCACCCACCTGGGTAAAGCGAACAATCGAAGGCCCAGGAATCTGGGCAACCTGCGTAAAAGGAAAGGAAAAAGGGACAGTCGGCGAGCTTTACGATCTTTTTGAATCAGTGAAGTCTCCCTCAAAGCTAAGATCTCGCACATAACTCATGATGATCACCAACAGCTAGCTGCCGACATGTGGCCCGTAGAAGGGCATAATCCCTCTGCTAACGATCGGGATAATGGCTCGGACGGGAAAGAGAATGAAGACGACGATCTAGAAACGCAGATTGCAAAAGAGGTCGCTGCGTTGAAGCGGCCAAAAGTGGAGAAGAGGTTTGGTAGGTGATCGTGATCCTTTGCCGTTCGTTTCTTTAGCTGACGGTGTGAGGACCAGCTAACTGCCTGACAAACACCCAATGCGGTACGAGTGCACGCCTATTACCTTCTATCAGCCCAACTTATCCTGACTGTTTTGACGCAGTAATTTTCATGTCATGTAAACCCCCTGTGGACCCAGTAAAATTGGTGATGAAACACGTAGAAAACGTTCAAGAAACGGGCGTCACGAGGACAAAGTAAGAACTATACATCGTATTCTTTGTTCGTACTCACTCGGCTTGACAGATACACGCATCGGCTCACCCCAGTCTCCGGTACATGCGTTGCGAACCTTCCAGAGCTCCATTCCTTATGCCGTCGAACGGTTGCTGCGTACTGTGCCCAAGAGGACACCGAAGGGTCCCCAAGGGCTCGCAAGGCACGTCTACAAACACGCTGACGCTCGCATTCTAACATCTACTCCAGTACAAAATCGAGTTACGCGTACGCAACCACAACACGCTAACACGAATGGAGATCATCCAAGAAGTAGCTAAATGCATGCCATCAAATTATACTGTCGACCTCGACGACCCTGATGTGTTCGTTCTGGTAGAAGTCTTCAAGGTCCGTGCCATGTCGCGTTTCGGTTCAGATGCGTTTTGATCCTTAGTATGTGCAGAGCACCTTTGGCGTGAGCATTGTTGAAGATTATTATCGGTTTCAAAAATTCAATGTCATGGAACTGGCGAATGCGCATAATGAACCGGAAAGATTCGAGATAGGGGCGGGGCGCGTACAAGATAAGAAGCATGGAGATGATGACGGGACTGTGTAGGTGATGGCTGCGGCGACATTTCATTGCACAGGAGATAACTATCTCATGAGGCTGTCCAATATCTGACCATGATTATGGGACTTGGTGTTTCCGCTGCAATTTATTCTAAATTGTGAGGTCGGACCCGACATATTAGGGGAAACGACCTTATTGTCACAATACTAATGCAATCAATCACAATTATAGTCTACATAAATCTAGGGGATCACATATCTTTCTCGATTTCTAGTTCGCCTCCGAGCACTGCCAATGTGGTTCTATCTGGCTATGCAGTAGTGTGGCCGTGCAGTAGTGCCTGCTCGTCCTTCAACTGCATTCTGCAACCATCCAGCGAGCTATCTATAGCAGAGTAAATTGAAACATCTGTCCATCCATCCCATCTTCATCATGCTTCATACTGTCCATCAATTGACGTCTGGGTCATTTCATGACCTGTCACAACTTATAAGCTTTGATTTAAATCTTTGTATGTTGTCCTCCAGATAACTATTGCCCAGGTCACTTCTGACCACACCCTCGAACCCAGCTACTAAGTAGTAGTGCTTTCAATTGGTCCATTTCATCATACATATTGTAACCTTTGTCAATGAGTGATGATCAAGGTCAGTACTTCTATCTCTTATCTCTTGCAATCTCTCTGACCTCCTTGACAGTCCTTCAAGGAACCTGGGTGAAGCTTTCTGAGGTTGCTGTCAAGGGTGCTCAATATAACTCCTGTGAATGTCAGTGTTAAGGTCGCGTGCTTGAGGGGGTCAGATCACAAGGGCTTGGCCTCAGCTTGTACGCTGTGCCCCTTTCCCGAGTATGTGCCCTTAATTTCCGGGGGCTAGAACAGTCGTCTGGAGTTTCCGGGATTTGACTGGGGTGGATAATGGACGTCCGGATCTGAGACGTGAGATAAATCCAACGGGTGTCCGGATGTTACCTGGGCAAGCGGATAAGACTAATCCAGACGAAGTCCAGACTAGAAACTAACAGAGGATGGACTACCCTGAGGTAGAGTTGGAAATGTAGTCTAGGATGCAATCCTAAGACTCGGAATATGACAAGAGACTTATCTCGAGTCCAGAGGACACAGGAATAAGCAGGAACTAAGATGATATTCGAACTGGAGTATTTCCGAGAGTTACAGGAGGTTTATATACTGTAGGTATCATATAGGAATCAGTCAGCAAACATAAAGGCTATGTATGAAGCATATGCAAAGTCTATTAGTAAGTAGGATGGATCACAAATAATGAACACTGGAAATGAAATGTATGTAATGGATCAATAATCAAAAGGGAAACATGGTTAACTGGAGTCCAGAGACAGGGGCAGTCTAAATGGAGTTGGGCACTGATATAGGGTTTGGATTCCGGAAGGGAGATAAAGATAGATCAGATCATTTGAGATCCGGATCTCAGATCCAGATATCCAGAGAAGTGGATTTAGAGTTGAGAGTCCGGAATGGCATATGACAGTCAGCCCCACCCAAAATGTTTGGAAGGGACCTGGGTAGATCTCCTCAAATACATCCATGGATTCCTGGATGACACAAAGAAGAATCAGCTCTTGTGGCTGCATGGCATAGCAGATGTTGGAAAGTCTGCTGTTGCATTCACTGTAGCTGAGAGGATGAAAGGTCTAAAAGTAACAGCAGAGACAAACATTGAAAAGTGGCTAGCAGGGACATTCTTTTTCTCATGCAAGCACATGCAACATTGCACGACTGGCTATTTTTTTGCAATGCTTGTCTATCAGCTTGCCACCAACTTCCCCAACATCTGGAATGATGTGAATAGAACTATCCATGACAATCCTGCTCTACTAGACCCAGACACACCTCTTTGTGACCAGATGGAGGCCCTCCAGACCCTTCAGTCATTTTTCATGTAGAACCCCTGCCCCGGATGTGCCAAAGGGTCATAGAATCATGGCTAGCCAGTCCTCAGCCGGTGCATGTAGAATAAGTGCTGGCTGGTGTACTATCTGATTATCACCTGAGTATCATTATTTCATGTAGGATAGGTACTGGCCAGTGTATAGTATGCCAATGTCTTTCATGTAGGATTGGTGCTGGCTGAGGTATTATAGGCCAATCTCTTGTATGTAGTATCAGTGCCAGCCAGTCTATAATACTATAACCATCTCTTTTGTCTTGTATGTAGGATGAGTGCTGGCCGATAAATCATATGACATATACTAGCCACAGGATCAAGCTGACTGGTATATGTAGGATATATCTACTGCAGTCTGATTTCATTAGTAGACTGGTCAGCTTATATCTACATGTGTAGGAGCATGGCTGGCCAGTTCATAGTCCTTAAGTTAATATACTGGCCATTGAGTGTACTAACCATAGGATCAGGCTGGCTAGGTATATGTAGTCATTGGTGAACTGGCCAGCCTGTATATACATATGTAAGAACATGGCTGGCCAGTTTGCTAATATTTCACTAGCAAACCAGCCAGCTTGGTCCTACATGTGTAAGAGCATGGCTGGCCAGTTTGCTTATAATTCACTAGCAAACCAGCCAGCTTGGTTCTACATGTGTAAGAGCATGGCTGGCCAGTTTGCTAATATTTCACTAGCATGGCTGGCCAGTTTGCTTATAATTCACTAGCAAACCGGCCAGCTGGGTCCTATGTGTGTATGAACATGGCTGGCTGGTTTGCTTATTTTTTACTAGCAAACCGGCCAGCTTGGTTCTACATATGGAAGACCATGGCTGGCCAGTTTGCTAATATTTCACTAGCATGGCTAGCCAGTTTGCTTATAATTCACTAGCAGACCGGCCAGCTTGGTCCTACATGTGTAAGAACATGGCTGGCCGGTTTGCTTATTTTTTACTAGCAAACCAGCCAGCATGGTTCTACATGTGTAAGAGCATGGCTGGCCAGTTTTCTTATATTTCACTAGCAAACCGGCCATGGTTCTACATGTGTAGGAACATGGCTGGCCTAGAACCAGGCTGGCTGGTACTTTTCATTAGTATACTGGCCTTTTTCGTCTATGTATGTAGGAGCTAATGGTTCAATTCTTGTCCAAGTCTTAACAAGTAGATATATTTATTGTACAAGATTGATCAGTTATGAAGACAAAGGAGTATATAAGATCAGTTCTGGGCTCTCTTAGAAGGTTGCCTTGTCCTGCCTGATCTGTGGACTTTGGGCTCAATCCTATGCTTCTTAGACTCACTGGTCGAAGCTTGGGGCATTCTTCTCTTCCTCCCTTTCTACTCCTGCTCCTCCTACTCCTCCTGCTCCTCCTGCTCCTGCTCCTGCTCCTGCTGCTTCTCCTTCTCCTTCTCCTTTGTGAAAACAACTTCCTCCTTGGTCACCTCATTTCCATCCTCACCAAGTGCCTCTTTTGTCAGCTTCTCTATGTGCTTGACAACTTGATCAAGAGAAACCAAGAATTCTAGATTGAAAGCAGAACCAGGTAGGTAGAAAGGTGTATTGGGGTCAGCCTCATCTTCCTCATACTCTATGACACTTTTAGACTCCCTATAGAGGAGCCCAAGTCTGAGAATCACTGGCATGGCAGATGCTGCCCCTGAGATTGGAGATGTTCACAGCTTATCCAAGCTGGCCTTCAAAGTGTCATATGACACATGCACATCCTCAGGAAGATAAGATCCTCCCCAAGACCAGTTAGCCCAGATAGGCAAATCTGGATTCTGCTCTGAAGTTGGCTATTGGACGAACTATGAGATATGAGATTAAGATACACTTGAAGTTATACTGACCTTCTGCTTGGCCAACTTTGCCAGATCCCTAGTGGCATCTATAAGCTCCAGGTAGTTGTCATTCTTGCTCAGAGATTCAAGGAATGTATATTGATCATTGAATGAAACATCATCTGGGGTTGTGTTGGCTGGCTGGGTTCTATGTTCTGTGAAATCAGAGCTGTTCAAGGAAGGAAGCCAGTCTGTCTTTTTCATCTGAGTCAAGTAAGCTTACTCTTTTCTCCTTAGACTTCTTCTTTCTTTCTTCATTCCTTACATTTGCGCACACATCACCATCTTTGGCTTTGACAAAAATGACTAGCTTCTTGTTTGCAGCCGAATTTTGTTCCCAATGGTTCCATAGATGATTGACCTCCTCAGTCTTCATATGAGAAGGGTCTTTGACCACAAATGCAGTGGGATACATGTTGCCTAGGAAGTTTTGAGGGAAGTTTTAATACACCTACCACCACCACAGAATCTAGTGACCACCATCATGTCACTTAGTCTCTAGAGTGAGAATCTATTATCTTCAGCCAGCATGCTTTAGTCGTTGCCCTAGTCCCCAGCAACAGCACATTATCACCATCAGTCACCATTCAGCAGTCTCAGCACACATCCTCACACCATCCTTCAGTCTTTACATGTCTGTGCACCACACGCGCTCTATTCCCACGCTTCGCGCTCCTACGCGCTCTATATTCCCACACATGTGCTTCACCAGAGTTGACCTGGTGTCACCCAGTGGATCCTTGCTTTCTTTGCTTCCCTTAAGGGTCGAACATATCGCCTGGTGCACTTCGACCAACACTTAGAGAGTCAGTAGGCCTTCCTCTCACCCCAGAGGTAGAGGCATCTTTCTTTCTTTAGCTCTGCAAGCCTAGCAGAGTTGTTGAACCTTCAGCACATGCAAGATTCAAATTCCAATTAGCCACATACAAAACTCGGTCTTTGACCATTCTGCAAAGGATTCAAATCCAGTTGCAGTCCACTCCTTGATCCCATTGGAGCTGACAGAGAACCTCTTCTTGACATTTTGAGGCTTGGTTTCATGTCTGAGACATAGTGATTAATTAGTCTAGTTAGCCTTGAGAATTATGAAAGTTCAATCACTTACAGACTGACAGACATTATCTGACTAGCTTTTTTCTTGTGACTGACAAACATCACCACTTGACAACCCATAGTACACCAGATTTGCTCTGAAAAGTCTTCAAGTGTTTTCTTGAGGTTGTTCTTCCTATACCTTAAGGAAGATCTTAGATGAGATCAATAGTAAATTTTAAGTCAAACTTACACTGCTTGACTTTCTTCTGGTGCCCCCTCCCTATTCCATTTTGTCATGGTGAACTTGACCTCCTCCTGTTGTGAAGGTGACATATTGTCAAACCATTCCCTAGCATGGCCTGTCTGATACTTGATTGACTGTTGGACGCCTTTCCTTCTCTGCTCAGCCTTGTCAAACTTATCTATTTCTTCCTTGAACAACCTCTGTGTGACATCCCATTTGGTAAGTGATTTCTTGTAGAAGGATGCTTCTCTTGGATGACTTGCAGCCTCTCTAACCTCAGCCTCTTCCTTGTAGGCGATGATTTGGGAACAGTATTGTTTTATTTCCTATATGTAGCATTCACCCATCAATCAAATGTATCTACATACACAATTAAAATTTTGTTACCTTTTTCAAAGAAGTAGGCAATTGGGGCACATCTTCGTCTTCAAGTTCCTTTTGGGCTTCAAGTATAGCCTTATGAATTTTCTTCACTATTCGTTTGAGAGCCTGTGGTGAATCTGCAGTCACAATACCTTGATGATAATGATCAAGAATATATTTATAGCAAGTTGTCCAGTCAGAAGCCATTATAGCTCAGTCAAAAAAAAAAGGCTGAAAAATTTGATAGAGCTGATGAGTACTTGTGGTAGGAGGGTGGCTGGCCAACAAACTGATTTGAATCCCATATTTAGGCACTGTAACATTATTCATATGACCATATTAAGATTCAAGATTAGCATTAAGATCCTCAATCACATGATACAACTACATGTGTGGACTTACTTAGACAGCATAAAAAAATAGAAATCCGTCAATCAAAGTAGTTAAATTCAAGATTTAACTACACATGTAAAATGAGCTACAAAACCTGGCTGAAAAGTAACAATAGGTGACAAAACAAACATGTGCAACAACTCCAGGCAAATCTATTCAAAGTCATCCTCAGCAGGAGTACTGGGTGTGGGTTCTAAGGGAATGGAAATCCAACAAGAACCAGGCCACTTACCAGGAAGAAGCACCCTTGAATTAGCTGGTTGGGAGAATGAGTACCCTTTCCTGCAAGCATCATTCTTGCATTCAAAGTGGTACACCTTTCCCACATTGACAGAACGCCAAGCATTGATCCAGCCACATTGGGGGCACTGAACTGGCAAGTATTGCCCCCATGGGCAAAGTTCAGTATGAGTCCAGGCGTACTGGGTAATGGTTAATGAGCCACTGCTATTCAGCATCATCAAGAACATGTCGCTATGACACCCCAATTTGTAGGATTGTCCCAACATATCAGGGAATGCAACCTGAATGGCGAAGCGCTCGATCAGAATGAGTTCTGCGAAGGCCAGAAGAAGGTGAGTTGTGAAGGTGGGTTGGAAGCGAATGGTGTTGAAGCCAATAGTGGCAGTCATGTGATGACTAGCATCTAAAGTTAGTTTTCAGAACCTAAGACAACAAAAACACTTACTTGATAACTGCTGCTTGCAGGCATGCAAACGAAGTTGGTTTGTTGATCAGTGCGCCATAAGACAACAGCCAAAGGTAAGATTCTGCAGCACCATGAATCAATGGGTCCCAAGGTGAAAGGAGAATGTCCAAAACCTGTTGTAGACATGAGCAAGAACAAGGTCAGCCAAGAGCAACCACTTACTGTGTGAACACACACAGAAACATAAGTCTTCTTCTTAGTTTCATACCCCATGAACAGATCACCTTCATCGTTATCCATATGGTTGGTGATAGCGATAACTACATGAGTCCAGGTGGACTTCAACAGCGACTGGATGGTGCAAGCTGCATCTAACTGATACTTCATGATCTTTGTATCATTGCCAATGTCAAAGGCAATGGTGTGGAATTCAAGTCCACCACTGGGAAAGTAAGGGCGAAGGAAGTCAGCAGTAAGTTCAAAGGAACCACTGGTTGTATCATGGTCGATGAGGATGAGATGGAGCATCAGTACTGGTGCAGAAGATAGTTGTGAGTGAAGGGAGACCTCCAGTGTGGTGCGGATGGGGAGGAAGGAGGGGAACAATGGCTTGTCATTCTGGTAAAAACCCTGTAAGTCAAGTTAGGGTTAGTAAGAATGAAAGACAAATGCAACTCACAAAATAAGGTGAGTATCCTCCACATCCATGCTGCTCCTTTCCTACATGGCAGTAGATGCATAGGAAGGTAATGTCATCAGCCTCTAGCTGGTGCACAGTGCCTGAGGGGATATCTATGCAATGAGAGCACATAACCCTTGGGCATGCATTGCACAGGAAGAGGCAATCTTCCTTGACAGAACCATCCTGGCACACGATACAGAACTATGAAAGAAGAAGAGTTAGTGTTAATAAGTAAGTTAAAACTTACATACCTCATTGTGCCGGAAGGGATCACACACCTCCATCAATGCAGGAGATGGAGGAGCCTCTAGTGTTGAGCTTGGTAGCTTCAACACTATGCGTGGGGCAGTGCTGCCGGTGGACTTCTTGCAGGTTTGAAGTGTCTTGACCATTGGGCATCTGGAACAAGAATCTATTAATGGATATTTTAAATCAGTAACTTACACACTGAAAATAACACTTACAGTACTAGTAAGCAGTGCAAACAATGATAAAGTCAAGGTACTGAGAAGACTTTTTTTTTTTTTTTTTGATCATTGTTTATTGTCCGTTGGGGCGATGCCCTATGGTAGACAACACATACAGGTATATACTTGTTCATTACATTATTGCTTTGTGAATTTCATTTGATGTGCTTTCATTGGTCCAGGTGTGACACGAGGACAGGTAAGGCCAGCTAAAGGTGATAGGGGATCATTTGTCTGCTTCATCTTCTTCGTCATCTGTGGGGGGGTTGACATCTCCAAATGTTTGTTCTAGTCTGTGTGTACTCACTATGAAGCAGAGTAGGGGTTTGATGCATTTTTGGTTGCTCAACAAGTTCTTGAGATGACTAGCTTGGGGGCCTATCTCATTCTGGAGTGCAAGTTGTTGTCTGGTGTACTTCAGGCAGATGAGTAAGAAATGGTGTACTGTTTCTTTGCTGTGATGACATTGCTGGCAGGTGGGACTGGGGACCTTCATTATTTGATGTAGATGCTTGTTCAAGGGGGTGTGCCCTGTACGAAGTTGAAACAGCAGAGAGGAATGTTGTCATCGGAGCTTTTCTACCAGCATGGAGAAGTGCTTTGATGGGGCAGTCTCATCGATGTTGTGAAGGTGCTGATAGTGTCGTGAGTTCTTCATGATGATTGCCACTTCGGCTTTGATTTCTCCTCTAAATCTCTGCTTCAGCGCTGATTTACTTATTGGGAGGGTGAGCTTGATGTTGCTTCTGGTGGCAAGTAGAGACTTTGGGAGTTCCACGGGTATGCTACTTTCTCCTCTGGCTGCTCTTTTGGCCTGCTCGTCAGCTGCTTCATTTCCAGGTATCCCCTTGTGGCCCAGCATCCATCATATTGTCAACTTGCGGTTGTCATGTGCTGGGATGAGGCTGCGTAGGTCATCATGGAACTTGTCCATGAGGTAGTGCCCTGGCTTGGAGATGAACACTTTGGTGGCTTGTATGGCTGCCTGGTTGTCAATGCCCAGGGACATGGTTCCTTTTCTCTCCTCTCTCAGTATCTCCACTGCTAATATCATCCCTATGAGCTCTCCCTCATAGACCATATGCTCTTGGTCGCTCCCTAGGTGGAACCGTCTTTCCTTAACCATCTCTCCATTCTTCATTAACACTGCCACTCCTCCCACTTCCCCATCTATTGCTGAGCTGTCTGAGTAGACTCGCAGGTCTTCCTCTGCCTCTGCATCCTGTCTCGCTGCCATCATCATATCTCCTGTTTCCGTGGTGACATTGGGTATCCACTTGGGGTAGTGGTGTGTTGGGTCAATGATCTCGATGGTGTGGGGGTTAAGGTTGAATTCGTTGAGTAAACGATGTAGTGGTGACAGGTGTCATTTACAACTTTCGAAGTTCCTTCTGGTACATGAGTTGTACATGGTGCAGATGCCCTTGTGGAGGGGGTGGGTCTTGTCTAGTGTTACCATGTGTAGAGTAGCTCTATGACATACTTTGCGTAAAAGTTGCTGGAAAGGAAGGATATTAGCATGTGCATCAAGGATGTCAGTAGTGGTGGTTCTCATCCTGCCTGTGATCATTGTTGTTGCCATTCTCTGGACTTGTTCCGTCTTCGAGGCGAAGCCTTGTGCTCCTCTGCCTGCGTTTTTCTTTCCTCTTCCTTTCGCAATCAGTCCTGAGCACCAGACGTCAGCAGCGTAGAGCATCTTAGGAATCACTACACCTTCATATAGTTTCTTTAACAGTCTGCCGTGGACTCCCTTCACTGCTCTTGTCATCCTCTGACACACCATCATGTAGCGTGTTCCTTTCACTAGTGCGTATGTGGCGTGTTCTTTGAAAGTGAGTTCATCGTTGACGATTACACCAAGGAATTTGTGTGATCTGGATGGTTCAATTACGTGGTTGCGGATAGTTATTGGTGGATGGGGGGTGGGGAGGGTTTTGTTCCTGCAGTTGGGGTCGGTGATTCACTTTCTCGAGACACATAGCAGAGCCATTTTATCTAATTTGAAGTCAGCATTATGGTCCATGCTCCAGTCTAGAGCACCCCCTTGTTTCTCCATCATATGCTTGAGTTTTCCATTCACTTCTTCGTAGTATTTTCCTCATGCGGCTAGGGCGATATCGTCGATGAAGCCTAGACTTAATTCTCCTCTTCATGGGTTAGTGTTAGCTACTCGTGGTACAGGTGAATTGTAAAATAAAAATCCTATTACCAATAGAGGGCAACCTTGGTCGACTCCATTTGAGACATTGAAGTGGTTGGATCTATAGTCGTTGAAGTGCAGGGTTGTTGACTGATTGCTGAGTCGTTTGCCATACCAATTAATGTATTCCAGTGGTATTCTGGCGTGTCTCATGTTGTGTAGCATGTGGTTGACCACCACACTCGGGAACGCTGCTTTGACATTGAGAAATAGAATTGATACAAAAGGTTCTGCTGAGGCCCATGTGTCGGTTGTGAATTTTGTTAACAAGTGCAGGGAATCTATGGTCAATTTTCCTGGTCGTCCACCAAAATGTGTCGGGGGAGGGAGGTTATGATGCTCCGCTATATAGACAAGGTCATTGGCTACACAAGAGGAGAGAATTTTACCCATAGTATCGAGCAGGGTGATTGGCTGATATGCTTTCGGTAGACTATAGTCCGGTCTGCCTGGCTTCCATAGGACTACCATTGATGATAGTTTCCAGTCTTCAGGGTAGTATTCGAGTGTGAATGTTGCATGGAATATTGGTCCCATATATGGCACTAGAAGGTCAGTACAGTTCTTGTATACACAATTACATATTCCATTCGGTCCTGGGGCTTTGTACAGGGAAAGTTTATCTACTGCTCGAAAGATCTGTTCATTGGTGATTGGCGTGAATTCACAGATGGGGGGATTGTAAATGAAGTTGGGCTCAACATGTTCATTCTTGGGTGGTTGTCGAAAGAATATGTTGTAGAGGAGTTCGCTTTTTCTCATGTTGTCCTGCATGGTGTTCATTCTGTTGGGGTCTTGCTGGTCTTTCAACGTCTTGATCCTGGTGTGAATTTGTTCTGTCGGGTTGCTGGCTGCATAGCAGTGGAAGTCCCAAATGTTGCTGGGGGTGATGGCCTCAAGCCACTCTTCCCAATGTTCTTTCTTCGCTGTCTTGATGTTCTCTGAGAATCTGTTGTGGGTGATACAGAACTCCTCGTGGATTGGGTCATTTTGTCGAGCTAAGAGGTTTCGGGCTTTCTTTCCGAGTTTGTGTACTTGCTTTCATTCAAGGTCGAGTTTGGTTGACCACCATCGTTTAGCATAGGGGGATTGCTTAGTCTTTGGTACATGGTCCTCCACAGTTTTGGTGATGGCTTGGGTGAGATGCGCAAATGCGACTTCGAATTTGGCTATGGATTGGATGTCAGTAGGAGGAGGGAGTGCATCAAGGTGTGATGAGAGGGCTTCTCGGAACTCGTCCCATTCCACATCTCTAAAGTTTGGCCATTGAGTGGTGATGATTCATTCTGGTTGTAGATCTAGGATACTAATGATTGGGAAATGGTCAGTGATAATGGGGTGTAATTGATACTCTATGGAGCATTTGGTGAACATTTGCTCAATTTCGGCTGAACAGAAGATGTTGTCGGGTTGAGTGTGATTCTTGGTGTTTGAAGCTTTGAGGGTCGCAATGCCAGGGGGAAGGGCTTGAGTGAGGTTGTATTCTGCAAGAAGATTAATCAGTATACCTGCGGCATCTAAGTTCGCCGCAGTAAAGAGGTGAGAGTTGCTGGTCATTTCCCACATGGGATGGTGACAATTGAAGTTGCCCATCCATATCATGTGGGCGTTTTCCGCTTGATGGTTGCTGTTAGCATTAGTGCGGGGGAGGTTGCGAGAGGCAGCCTCTTCTAAGACTATGTGTCTTTCCAGGAATTGGATTGTTCTCGAATGGTCACATGCGTTGTAAATGTTATAGATACATACCTTTCTGAAGTCTCCGTGGATCTCGATTGCGGTGATGTTCAGAGAGTCGAGCGGGATGATGTGCCAATTGTTCTTTGATAGTTTCTTGTTGACAAGTAAGATGGTTTGCAAGCATTCGGGATTTGAGTGGTGGTTGGTGGGGTATATTACATCCCAGAACTGTCTGAGGTTAGAGGCATTTGCGAGGCCCACGACATTGAGGAAGGGCTCTTGGATGCAAGCTAGGTCATATGATTCGGGGTTGAGGTTCTGGAGCATGTGCTCCCAGGCGCTAGAAGATTTTCATAAGTTTTGTTGCCATATTTTGAGGTCAGAGCGAGGGGGTTGTTTGTTATGGTTGTCTTGCATTATGCAAAGTCAGATGGTAGTAGGGGTCTGCCAATGTTGATATCTGGAGATGGAGGAGGGAACCATAGTGGGGTGGTATTGGTGGAGGAGATCTGAGGAGGTGAGTTCGGGTGTTCTTGTGGGTCCGTGTTGTTTTCATTGGTTGGCTGCAAGGTTAGCCAGTTGGTCATGAGGTGGGCTTGGGAGCTGAGTCTGATCAGGATCTTATTTGGGTTTGCTCATTGCTGGCAGTGTTTTGACTGTTCTGGTTGGTTGTTGAGTTGATGAGGTTGGGGTTGTTGTTGTTGTTGAGGCTGAGGTTGGGGGATTTTCATTAGTAGGCATCCATAATTACCATGAGTGTTAGTGTCCATTACTGGCTGGGTCCATGCTGGCTGTCTTGGCGGTTCAGTCCATTGCTCGATGTTGTTAGCTATTGTTTCCCACGTGAGGGGGTCATCAGTAGGGAAGTATCGGTACTTCGAGTCTTTGGATCTGTTCTTGAGGGATTCCCACTTGTTGATAAAGGATGGGCAGTCTCTGCTCCATGAGGTGTGACCTTGACAATCACAGTTAGTACATTGGTAGTAGTTAGGGTTGTCAACTTTGCATGTTGCTGTGCAATGATGCATGCCGCACATTCCACATGTGTCATGATCTTGAGTGCACTCTGCAGCGATGTGTGTTCTGTCATAGGATTGACATTTGAGGCATTGTGTTGGTTCTGGGAGGAGTTTGTGTCTGAATACTTTCTTGCCTTCTATCAATATACTGAATTGGAGTATCTGATTGGTGCCTTCTTTCGTTTTGAGGGTAATGATTGTGTGCGCAGTTCTTTGGTCCAGCTTGCATTGGGCTACCGGCTTGATCCATCTTGCTTTTGTGATTGTTCCTGGTTTGAGTCCATCATTCATTTCAATGTTTGAGTTGGTGTGTAGTGAGCTGGGGTTGTAGGAGGTGGGTACATTTTCGATTAGGACGTGGTATGATCAGTCCTTGATGGTGGCATTCGATCTGAAGTTGGTAGCAAATCTTGCTCAGTGGGCTGGGATGCTAAGCCATGTCGTGGATTCCACTGAGTCGAGCTTGTATAGTATGCCACCATGAGGGAGTCTTCTCGCTGATTGAAAGGTCAGGCCTTGATGGATGGTGAATCCATCTTTTTCTACAAGTTCAAGGGTTAGTTTTGCTTTTGCGACAAGCTCTGCTTCTGTGAGTCCTCTGAGAGTGTCTATTTCACCATACAAGCATCTGTCTAGGAGTATTTGCCTTGCCTGTGCTTCTCCGCGAGCTAAGAGTTTGGTTAGCGGGGGAGGAGCATTAATTTTCACTGCATTCATGTATGTGTGCATCCCTTCAGGATGCGCAGCTTTTGGCATGTCTTGCAACACCTTAGTGACATTTAGGACTGCTTTCTCAATACTTTCAGATGAGTTAGATAATGTGCCACACAGCTCTTTCACTGCACTATCCAGGGCTTCTATTTGGGACATTGTGGCTTCTTTGATTCTCGAGGCATTCTCCTCTAGTTGCACAATTGGTCCTTGTATTAGGGTTGAGAGTTTTTCTATCAGGTTTGCTGCATCTAAGTTCTTTTCAGCTTCAATGAGTAGTATAGCCATGGATCGGAGTATATTGATGTGTGTTGTGCTGACTTCCACAGTGATACTGTATTCCAGTAAGGCATGTGCTATCTGTTTGATGGCATTACACGCGATAGGGAGATCTAGGCCATGTGAGAGTAGTAGTTTTTTGGCTGCTGTACTTGTTTTGATCTCGGATCTAACATCTAAGTCAGTTAAATGATTTTCTATTTCTTTACTTTTTGATAACAAAGGTTTGCTAGCAGTGGTTTCCCTTCCTCTAGTGGTCAGAGTCATGGTTGCAGTTGCAGGCTGGTTAGTAGTTTGGAGAAATTTGGGTGGTGTTGGAGCCATGGTTTTGTCTTTATTTTTGTTGTTTTTCGAGTTTTGTAGTATGTTCATTATGTATGTAGAGACTAGTAATAGAAGAAAGTAGAGAAGAAGAGACTGGGTAGGCATTGTTGATACCTTTGACACCATTGGGCACAAAAGTTGGTTGATTTTTCCAGGGTCCTTGAAGGGGTGCCACTTGGTAAGGGTCCAAGAAGTGTTCCTGAGAAGACTTAGAAGGAAGTGCCAGAGTTCCAAGCATTGGTTGATTGTACAAATAAATACAAACTGACATGTTGACAATGTCACTTGTTGTATCAACAAACAATAAGCAAATAACACGTTGCGTACCGTGTGACTTTGGACTTGGGTGAATTCAACGCATTCAACATATCACATGAGTTTACTGTGTGACTTTGGACTTGTGCAAATTCAACACATTCAACATATCACATGAGTTGTCAACAAACAATGGCAAATGAACACATTTATGAACTTCAACTTTACTTCTCATGGTTCATTTCTCTCTTCTTCAACATCCCAACAATTCTTATTCCCACCACTCTTATTCTCTTATGCATCCAGTCCTTTTAGGGTGCCTTATAGATAATCCTTTGAGTTCTTGCAGACTGCAGCTGCAAGGACTCAAAGGTACTACTCTATAGTCGCCCTTCAAACAAAGAGTAAGTCCGCATTGTCTTTGTGTGCTGCCAACTAGCTAACTTTGTTCATCTCCATGTGCCATCCTTCTCAAAGGATTTCATATAGGTAAGTAATCATTTCTCTCACCACCATGCTGATTTTTTCTACTTAGTGTCATTTTTATTTCCATGTACTACCCTTGACAAGTAAGTTGTTATTTTCTTGTGCCGTCTTACTGATTTTCTACATAGCGTGATTTTTTCTTGACTTTATGTTTGTGTGTGCTATGTTTATAAGGTAAGTAGTTACTTTCTCACAATGCCTTGCTGATTTTTGACTTAGTGTTATGTTATTTACTTAGCATGATGGGACTGGGGGTTTGTGGTGAATGCCACTTGTCAGTGGCTCCTGCTATTTGATACTGGGGGCTAGTTATGTCTTTTGTTTGATGCTGGCGGTGCATACCACTTGTCAGTGGTTCCCACTAGTTGTTTGTTCGCAGTGCATACCACTTGTCAGTGGTTTCCACTAGTTGGTACTGGGGACTAGTGTTGTTTTGAGCTTGCGGTGCATACCACTTGTCAGTGGTTCCTGCTATTTGATACTGGGGGCTAGTTATGTGTTGTGTTTGGTGCTGGCAGTGCATACCACTTGTCAGTGGCTCCCGCTAGTTGCTTGTTTTTGACTGGTTTGTGTATTCATTCTGGTAAGTACTTTAACCTGTTGTCTTCTTGACTAAGCCTACTCCCTTTATCAAGCACTCTCACCACCCCCATTGGACTTGACTCAAGCACTTTTATTCTGCAAGTGTTATGATAATTTTTTTCTTTCTTTACTCTGGTAAGTGCTCTCCTTTCATATGACATTAGCTGAAGCACTTGGCACAGGACTTTGAGTTTCACTTAATTGGCTTTGCTTAGTTAAGTGTCCAATCTCCTTTCAAAGTCTTATCTAACATTCACACAAGACAAAGTAGTAGTGCAATTAGTTTATTTTACTACTTACTATTTCACTTGGAGCGCAAGGCTTTGGTGAGGTTGGCCACCTCATCAAGGTCTTGCAGCTCCCCATTATCTTTCTTACTTTACTGGTTTTGAAACTTGTATTGAATGTAGTGCAAATTGTGCTTAAAATTGAAATCTGTCATGCTCTAATGTCTAAATTGTTGCCAGTTGAAAAAGTCATGTGATCTTAAGAAGAGCTCAACATGAAAATTTCATAACAAAACATCATATCACACAGTTGTTCAAGGTCTTTCATACCTATCAATGCTGCCAATATGTAGTTATGCACATAACTTAATGATAAAACAAAAATGTTACACAGATAGTATCAAATTTATGTGTCATACAAGGTAAATGCAAATGATGTTGAAAACTCTTAGGAGTCAATGACTGTAATGAGTACCAGATCAAATACAAAGTGCATCCAAGGCAGTAATCCTTTTCCACTGGTTAAGAAAGCCAAGGTGAAGGCAATCGAGCCAGAACTCACTGTTCTTACCCTATGTTCCTTCACCTATTAAGGTGCCCCTTTTTTTAACAGAGCCAGACTATCAGAACTCACCATTCTTAACCCACGTTCCTTCACCTATTAGGATACCCTATTTTTTAACCGACACTGGACTACCAGAACTCACCATTCTTACCCCCTATTCCTTCACCTATTAAGGTGCCCCTTTTTAACAGAGCTAGACTATCAGAACTCACCATTCTTACCCCCCATTCCTTCACCTATTAGGATACCCCTTTTTTTAGACTACCAGAATTCACTGTTCTTATCTGAACTATCAGAACTCACCATTCTTACCCCTCATTCCTTCTCTTATTAAGGATGGCTGACCAACCCCCTGCCTACACCAGGCATGGTTAACCCAGTGGTGCTGCAGTCACATACTGCACCATTACAAGACTTATGATGTCACTGGGTGCCAATTGCCAATTTAGCTAAACTTCCATTATGTAAATTGCATAAGCACATTGATGCAGTCACATCATTGTTCTTATCAGTATTCTTTGATCAGAATCATGTCATATATCACTAATTTACATAAAATGATACCGGGGCATTTAGTGCTGTGGGAGCTGGTTGAAAAATTTGCCTCTCTCACCAACATGAACCAGCTAACCAGTGAATCAACCAAGCTAAGAGTGGCTCTGACCACAAGGATCAAGGCAATCATGAAGGATTCAGCAGCAACAAGTGTCATCAAAGGGAAGATAGTACAAAGTCACCTTCTGAACAAAGCAAGGTACATTTTATATTTAGCACTCCGCTGATTAGGTGGAAACTCACCTATTCTTATCAAGGCAGCGGATTGGATTGGAGCTAAATCATTGCTTGGCAACAGCTGATGTCTGCTCAGACAAGAATTCTTCAATCTCTGATTATGAGATCAATCAGGCTGCACTCACAATTGTGCATGCAGTAGTAAATCCTTGTGAGTTATCTTCTTTTCAATAGTATATCCAGATTTAAATTCAGGGGGCAGATTATGTAGACTGGGACACCTCAAGATTTGCTGACATGGTCAAGGCATCCCCACCTAGTGCTGGTGGTTCACTCTCTGAAACTGAACGGCTACAAAAGTACTTTGCAGCAGCTAAGATTGGCAAAATTTCAGCCCCAGCTACCATTGTGGACAGGGAGGGTAATATTGTGACAATTTACTTGCCCAATATTCTGTCACCTTTTTGAGTTGTATGTAAATTCTTCAACAGGGATTCTCCTCATTAATAATTATTTTAGGATTGTGTCAACTCAGCCACCAAGGCTTTACAAAATTTGCTTCTTCAATCAATTCTGTCCTCCTCAGATGAATCGTCTTGGAGATCTCAAGGTTTTGTTATGCCAGAGGAAGGTGGAGAATTTGGGGCAGGCCAAATTACAGTATCACCAGCATATTTTATGCAAAGGCATGAGGTATTGGTCAAATCAACTTATTTAGCTGCTTTTGACACATTCTGGCAACAGAGACTTCAAGACCCAATGGTGACCTCAGCTTCTTACAAGTCTGTTGAAGTCCAAGAGTGGCTAGCTGCCTTGTCAACCATGGAATTCTTCTGGAATGCCATTACTGCTGCCTTGGCTCCAGATCTATTTGAAGCAGGTGCCACTGTGATCAGCTGAGTGGTCCAGGAACTTCAAGAATCTGTTAAACCAGTGTCAGCGCCCATCTCTCATTGGCCCTCAATCTTCTCAGGATTAGAAATAATTGCAAATCGTACTACCTTATCACACAGGGACATTGGTGGCATGCCTTCCCTTTTTGATCTTCTGATCAGTTTGGATAGTGGCCATAAGGCTAAGTTGGTGTTGGCTGATGTAGGGGCAGAGCTGGATTATTACCCTGGGACAATGACCTTTATTTCCGGGAAGGTTCTACAACACTCTATTGGTCCCTGGGGTGAAGGAGAAAGGCTTGTTATTGCCCATTTTATGAAGGATAAAATACACTCCAGAGTTGCAGTATCAAGACCAGCCTTTCCAACACAAGCCTTTTTTTTTAAAGATGGTGGGGCAAGGGGATAAGGGCAGATGACAGTAAAGGAGTAGATATTCTAGGAGGGGGGTGGGGGGGGGGGGGGGAGGGAGGTGAAGGGATAAGTCAGGTGTTCAGGAGTACATACTAGATCTAATGAGGTAGTATTTTAGCCATTTCTATGAATGATTTTGTCAACTACAACCAAAATATTAAGGACATCCTCTTTTGCATTAGTAACAGCATGTCTCCCCAAAAAAAAACTCGCCTCAAGGCAGCTACATTTTCTTTCAAAAGAAGAGGTCAATTATCCAAAGGCAAGGACCTAGATGTTGATTATGTATCTCACAAACAAGTCATTGGAAAGAAAAGGAAGATGACCTGAGTGGAATCATGTGCTGATGCCCTCTACGACACTGCCCCAACACCATCTCCTTCCTCTAGCCCTCATAAATGGGTTAGAGAGGAAACTCAAGGGTTGTCAAGGATTCAGGAGGAATTTGATGGAGAAGTCCTCAGTGACTTTAATTCATATACAGAGATCCAATCAAGAAAAACCAAGGTGACCAGATTGATGCATAGCAATTTAATTCTATACTCAATCGAGATCAAATGAACTAGACTCAGAATGACTTTATCCAAGAATATCTGCCTTTCCAAGACTCATATCTTGATATCCTCCTTGACTTGGAGAAGCCCTCTGATGTCTTGGAGTGCCAGTCTTGTCAGATTGGTGAAGGGAAATTCCATTGTTTGACATGCAGTGGGGATCAGACATTGTGTCATCCTTGCATTGTTAAAACCCACCAGTGTTTGCCCTTTCACAAGGTTCAAGAGTGGACTGGAAAATGCTTTGAAGACAAGTCGCTCGAAGAATTGGGTATTGTCTGGTATATGGGCCATGGGGGGTAACCATGTCCATTTTCTGAAGACCCACAGGCATGGGAGGATGTGCCATTGGATGCAGAGGCTAGGTCTGTGCCAATGGAGACATTTTCCAGTTCAACTACAACATCCACCCTGACCATCGTACATTTAACTGGAGTGTTTTTGCACAATGTTGTTTGGTGTGGTTGTCCTGGGTCTAAGCATCAGCAGCATCTGGAGTTGCTGAAGGCCAGGTTATTTCCTGCAAGCATCACTTGACCTTGAACTGCCTTCACTTTTGAAGTCTTAGATCATTTTCTAATTGATGCACTGGAGTGCAAGACTTTGGCATCAAGCTTCTTTGAGAAAATTCAGTGTATGACCAATCACTCATTCCTGGGTACTGTTCCTGTGAGAGCATATAGTTATTCTTTTCAACAGTTGGACTGACCATATCAAATGTCTTTGCTGGCTAGAATCAATATCAAGAACTCATGAGGGTGTCATGTCTATGGAGAGACTTGATGAGCTGAAAATTCTTTGGATTTGGCCATGACACTAGGGAGAAACCTGGCAAGGGTGATCTGGCTTGGTTTTGCCCTTCGTGTCCTCAGCCTGGCATTAACATACCTGATAACTGGCAAGACAAGTACAAAAGGCAAGTCATCTATTTTGGTTCGGATTATAAGGAGGCTGGCTTTCTCTTCTATGCAACAAAGAACATTATACTGACCGGCCAGCTGTGTGCTATGTGTTGTACACAAACTCTGGCCTTGCTGGCTTAGTTTCTGACAAAGCTGGCCAGTACTGTATAGACAGGCTGTATACCTGGGCCAGCTGGCCAAACTCTGATATTGTATTTGGCTGGCCAGGACTGTATAGACAGCAAGCAGAACCATGCTGGCTGGCTAAACTCAGATAATACATTGTCAGTCAATTCATTGAACTTATACTTATTCTTTACACAGTTGGCTCATTTCACAAAGATTTGTTGTGGATGGAAACTTTACCACTCAACATATGACTATGAAAAAGCCACAGTTAGACATCAGTTTTTCAGATGGTCTTGGTTATATGGTGAAAGACAGAGAATATCAGACTCATCTCTCATTGGCTGTCAAAAGTAAGGAGGTGAGTTGACTTGTAGCAAGAGTATTCGACTTTGCTTGACAGCCTATATAGCGCTCTTCTTGTGGCAATCACTGAGCAATTAACACCACCAATATCAGCAGGAGTAATCTTTGAGTAACAGGGGTAGGAGCAACTGCCTGTGCTTGACATGGATGCTCTGTTCCACACAGCATAGTTGATTTTCAGAAGGGCAAAAGGTCTGTACATCCTCCTAAACAGCACATTAAGCGAGCTCATAGGATGTTTAGACACATGAACATTGACTATTCAATATGCAATGCTTTGAATTATCATTCGTCTGGTATAGACTCCTCTCTCATTATTTATGATGTGGGGTGTCAGTGGAGTATTAATTTTTTACAGAGAGTTGCTGAGAGCCAAAGCTTATCAATACCAGAAAATATGCAGATCATCCCTGTGGTTGGAAAATTCCATCTCAGCACTCACAAATTGGCTTGCTTTGCAAGGTACAGCCTCAACTTTGTTCAAGGTGCTGGACATGTTGATGGGGAGATTTTGGAGACCCTATGGGCACCATTCAATAAGATTTTCCCAACTGCTCAGTCAATGAGTCATGCTCATTGACAAGAAGTTCTCAACGATCATATGAGAGACTCAAACTGGAAAAAATTAGTTGGAATAAGTAAGCACTTCAATCATGTATATCAAAAACTGTGCTTGACACTTAAAATTCTAGTGAAGACTCTCTTGACAAAGTATAAACGTGCTCTCAAAGGTGTTGACAAACAAAGTCTCCTTTTGATAAACTGGCCCAGTCTCTGAATCCTGAGAAGATTTTGATGTGGGAAATTGATGAGAAAAAGGCTGTGGAAGAATGTGGGGAGTATCTTGACATCTACCAGTTGCAGATCAACAAAGGTAAGTGCTCATAGCTCTGTCTGGGTCTGAGGCTTATAAGACATCTAATCTGGAACTGAGTTCAGCCCCAACTATGGCAGAGATTCAGCTCAAATTAACCAAGTCTGAGAACAATGATGACAGACATCCAGGAACAGTATCTTGGCTCATCACTGGTATCAATCTGGAGGATTTACAGTACGTAATTGATTGGAATGGCAGAATGGCTTGACAAAGTGCTATTTTAGGGATGCATTGAGAGCAAATATACAACAACTTCCTAATGATGCAACCTCTGCTCAGAAAGCTTCTATAGAAGAAAAGCGGCAGAGATTGGCAGCTAGGATTGCCAAATTTCATGAAACTGCTGATACTATGACTGCTGGCATGGATCTTGATATTGGAACAGTGCATTCTGATGATCCTAGATTCTGTCGTACAGATAATGATGGTAATGAGTGGGTGGAGGTTTCAGATGAAGAGGTCTCAGAGGATATAGATGAAGAAATCCTCACAGAAGAGATGGGTATCTGGATGCCATCTTCGACATCACAACACAATAGATTGACTCTTGGGCTGGGCCCCCTCCAAGCTGAAGAGTTGGAGCTTCAAAAAGGCCAAGCTAATGACTGCCTAGAAAACCTTTGTATGGCTCTCAGTCACAAGGCCCTTATTTATCATCAGTATTTTCGAAGTGCCAATTCTACATGGGCTGGCACCAGGTCAAAGCAAGAAGCTTGTCAATGTTAGCTCAAAATTGACAAATATGTAAGAAGCTATCAGAGGGCAAGGTCAGCAATGCGACATCTAGGCATGGACAAAGCTACCTTGGGCAGTATTTATTGAGAAATATTGCCCACTGAACTCAGTATTGACAAAGAGGTGACAGAAGAAAATAGATTTGGTCAAGGGTCAGACAGACTGGCTTGGTTTTGGAGGGTGAATAATGCCAATGAAGGTCAAGAAGATGCTTGGATGGATGAATGTAAGAACAAAATTTCATCTCAAGTGCAAGTCACTTCAACTCACTCTGATTTAGTCTATAGAGTCAACTGGTTGAAGGCAAAGGCTAGATGGAGTAGATGGCAGGAGGAGTTGAGTCTGGTAAGACATGAAATGGGTTGGACCATAAACTGGTTCAAGTATCACCAGAAAGAATGGAACAGAAGGTGGCAGAAAGTGACTAGACCTGGTCATCAAGCCTATGCTTATCAACAGGTCTTGATGTGGAGAAGGTTTGCTCAGGATGCTGAGAAGGCTTTCAATGGGTGTGGATTTGTACTTTGATATATTATACCAACACTCCTGCAAATTTCGCATTGAATGACATGCCATAAGTCTACCTACTGGGCAGTATTAACTTAAGGACTGCAAACAGGCCAGCCATGCTCTTAAATATGTAGACCCAGGCTGGCCAGTTTGCTAGTGAAATATAAGCAAACCAGCCAGCCATGTTCTTACATATGTATATACAGGCTGGCCAATTCACTAATGACTACATATACTAGCCAGCTTGATCCTATGGTTAGTACACTTAAGGACTACAAACTGGCCAGCCATGCTCCTACACATGTAGATACAAGCTGGCCAGTCTACTAATGAAATCAGACTGCAGTAGATATATCCTACATATACCAGCCAGCTTGATCTTATGGCTAGTATACATCATATGATATATCAGCCAGCACTGATACTACATACAAGAGATTGGCCTATAATACCTCGGCCAGCACCAATCCTACATGAAAGACATTGGCCTATTATACCTCAGCCAGCACCAATCCTACATGAAAGACATTGGCATACTATACACTGGCCAGTACCTATCCTACATGAACTAATGATACTCAGGTGATAATCAGATAGTACACCAGCCAGCACTTGTTCTACATGCACCGGCCAAGGACTGGCTAGCCATGATTCTATGACCTTTTGGCACATCCAGGGCAGGGGTTCTATGTAAGGAAATGACTGAAGTATGTGAGCCCTCTTTCTCCAACCACTCTGGAAACTTTGACTCAGATTGCATGGATGCCTGCCTTTGTCATTTGTTGTCAATGTGCTTGATGAGTGCACATCCGAACCTGAGCTTACCGATCTCATCCTTTCCCTTGCACAAGCTCTTTGTGAGCCTGATCTACCCATGACCCACATTCTGCTCACAAGTCACTCAGAATCGTATATTAGCAAAGTCTTTCAGAAGGATGAGGTGCACCTGTTGGTGCACAAAATACCCGTGAGAACTTCTGGAGAGAGTGACATCATCTCATTGGACAGTGCAGACATGGACAACAATATCTGTATTTTCTTGTGGCATTCTTTCAAAGAACTGGAAAGTTGCCATCCACATTTCCTGCAGCCATCAGAGGTTGACTTTGCAAAGCTAGTGAGCCAAGCAGGCAGACATTTCATCATGGCATCTATGATGATGAATTTCATTATTGACAATGAAGACAGTGATCCCCATGATAGGTTGCAGCTGATGCTCGCTGCTACCAGGAACGGAGGTGTACAAGTTATACGATTGTATCCTCTCCACGTGTTCCAACCCCAAGCGGGCATACTTGCACTTGTCCATTGTCACCCGCCCTTGCAGACCCTCTTCCCATCTCGCAAGTCTTGACACTTCTTGGCCCTGGTTTGGGAAGGGATGTGCAGACAATGCTGATACAGCTACGGTCTGTTATGGATATCCCTACAGACAGCACTCTCCCCCTGAATATCTATCACTCATCTATTTGCGACTACATTTCTGACCCCTCAAACTGCAGCCTCCCTCAAGTACCAGATATCGAATCACCTCACACCCTACTCACATGTTCCTCTCTCCACTTGATGGAGGCAATTCCAAAAAGCATGGCTCTCTTGGATGTGCTCTCAGAACTGAAGAAACAATGCAATGCAATGCAATGTGAGGACCCCCATAGGTTAAAAGACACATTAGTGTTCCTTGTTCAGCCACCAGAGCCACTGTCAGCTGTCATGTGTATGCTGTGGCTTTGAGGAGATCGCACTTCAGATTTAGAATCTTGGCTGTGGAGTGTGGATGGATGTGCCTGGCTGCAGACCCAGGCAGGACGAGAGTGACTACAGGCTCAGGCAGGACAAGAGTGGCTGCAGACCCAGGCAGGACAAAAGTGGCTGCAGACCCGGGGAGGATGAGACTGGCTGCAGAACCGAGGAAGACGAGACTGGCTGCAGATCATGGAAGGACGATTATGGCTGCAAATCCTAGTAGGACGACTCTGCCTGCTGTTCTGGCTGTTGATCCCAAGAAGATGATTCCAGCCGCAGATCCTGGAGGAACGAGACTGGTTACAGACACAGGGAGGATGCAAGTGGCTGCAGACAAAGAGAGGATGCGACTGGCTGCAAACCCAGTGAGGACACAACTGGCTGCAGACCTGTGGGAGTTGAGAGTGGTTGCAGATTAAGGGAGGACACCAGTGGCTGTGGACCCAGGAAGGACAAGAGTGGCTGAAGACCCAGGAAGGACGGAAGTGGCTGCAGACCCAGCCAGGATGCAACTGGCTACAGACTCTGGGAGGATGCGACTGGCTGCAGATCTAGGAAGGATAATACTGGTTGCAGACCCAGGGAGAATGAGAGTGGCTGGGGACCCCAGGAGGACAAGAGTGGCTAGGGACCCTGCGAGGATGAGGGTGGCTGGAGACCCAGGAAGGACAAGGGTGGCTGGAGACCCAGGGAGGGTGAGAGTGGCTGCAGGCCCCAGGAGGATGAGAGTGGCTACAGACCTGGGCAGGACAAGAGTGGCTGCAGACTCCAGAAAGACAAGAGTGGCTGTAGACCTGGGTAAGACAAGACTGGCTGCAGACCCAGGCAGGACAAGAGTGGCTGTAGACCTGGGTAAGACAAGACTGGCTGCAGACCCAGGCAGGACAAGAGTGGCTGCAGACTCACAGAGGATGAGAGTGGCTGCAGACCCATGTAGGACAAGAGTGGCTGCAGAGCCAGAGAGGACGAGAGTGGCTTCAGACCAAGGGAGGACACAAGTGGTTGAAGATTCATGGAGGATGCGACTGGCTCCAGGCCCTGGCAGGATGAGACTGGCTGCAGACTCAGGCAGGACACAGGTGGCTGGAGACCCAGGGAGGACGTGACTGGCTGGAGACACAGGGGGGATGTGACTGGCTGGAGACCCAGAAAGGACACAAGTGGCTGGAGACACAGGGAGGACAAGACTGGCTGCAGACCCCAGGAAGACAACAGTGGCTGCAGACCCAGGGAGGTCATGACTGGCTGCAGACCCCATGTGGGCGCAACTGGCTGCAGACTCCCAATGGTCAAGCATGGCAGTCCACTCCTGCTGCCTCTGTCTGGGTGACAATGGAAGAGTTTGCAAGGATATCAGAAGCAACCAACAAGTATATCACCATAAGTGATGTGCCTTTACCGCCCGCTCTCCAAGTAATCCAGCAGTTCAAGACCTTGCCTGATTTCTTGATGTTTCCAGTCTTCCTAGCATTAAGACACCAGCATCATTCTTCCTCTGCATTACCAGAAAGTCATCTTCTCCCAGACAGGGAGATTATTCATGCTATGAATGCCTTTGAGGGGTTCGCAAACAAAGCACAGGAACAAAGCCAATCAGCTTCCGATGCTCTCAAGTATGCCTGTCACAATTGGGCTGTACATCTCTCACACACTCCCCATCCATGGGATGACACGCTCAACCATATATTCTAGGCTTTTTGGAATGATCATATTATCTCCTGGCTGGAAATGGAGTGGTGTTTGAAGGGTCTGCGATCTTGCCTCGTCGTCTTATCTGAAGGGCAGAAACTTGCGAAGGTGTGTGTTTCAATGATTCAAGGTAACCACAATTGATGTTGCCTTGCATTCCATGATATTTAGTCCATGACATGATGCCTTGGAATTCTCTTATCTTCAGTCCAGATTCTTGAGCCATTGATGCATAGCCTGGTGCTAGTGCTCAAATATTTCACCCCTACTTGAGCAGTGGCATGTTTAAAAGCCTGGTTGTACTATCATAGAGGTCCCTCATGACCTTAGTTTGGTGGTGAGACTATGTATTTTTGCATCTATTGTTTGGAGCATGTTTTGCCTATCTTGTAGTGTATACTATTTCATAACCTGGTAAAGCACTACATCGCCAGTGTTGTATAGAAATTGAGCAAGTGAAAGCCCTGCCGGCTGACTGAAATTGATAGCTGACAAATCAAACTAAGACAGCACCTGATGCAATCTGAAAACTCATTCAAGTTGGTCCCACTGCTAATCATCCTGCCGCCCTTCTTTGTATGATGCTCCAAAGACTTTAATAAATTGCACAATACACCAGCTACTCTAGTAAACTGGATGGCTGAATCAGAAGTTTACAAACACATTGATGCTGCCATTATAATATCTGCCTCAGTACAAAATTGAGTTGTGTGTATATTCACAACCACGATATGCTAACACGAATGGAGATTATCCAAGTAGCTAAATGCATGCTGTCAAATTATACTGTCGACCTCAATGACCCTGATGTGTTCATTCTGGTGGAAGTCTTAAAG